GTCCTCTCCTCTTCTCTCTCTATGCTCATTCATGTGGTAGTATCACCCCATTTGGTGGCTTTACATGCCATCCACGTGCTGACTACTTCCAAAATTATATTCCCAGTCCACACTTCACCCTTAAACTCAAGACTTGGAGATCCACCCACCACTTGTCATCTCTACTGGGACGTCTAATAGGTGTCTCAATCTGAATGTGTCCAAAACTGAGCTCTTCATTGTCCCCCAACCCTGCTCCTACCCCACAGGTCTCCCCATCCCAGTTATGGCAATAACATCCTTCCAGATGCTCCAGTGGACACCAGGGCGCCATCCTTGACTCATTGCTCTCTTTCACACCCCCAAGTCTAATCTGTCAGCAAATCCTATTGGCTTCAAAATATGTTCAGAGCCCTGGCCGGTTTGGCTCAGCGGTTAGAGTGTCGGCCTGCGGTCCAGAGTGACCCGGGTTCAGTTCCCGCTAAGGGCACGTACCTCGGTTGCAGTTTGTCCCCAGCCCTGGTTGGTCGTGCGGGTGGCAGCCACTTGATGTGTCCGTTTCACGTCGATGTTTCTTTCTCTCTCTCCCTCCTACTCTATCTGAACAAAATATCGAAAAATGTCCTCGGGTGAGGATTAAAAAAATATATATATATGTCCAGAATCTGACCACTTCTTGCTATCCTGGTCCAGGCCACTGTCATTTCTAGATTTATTAATAGTCTTCTTTCTGATCCCATAGCATCTGGCCTTGCCCAGTGGTTCTTGTGTCAGAGAAAAAGCCAAAGTCGTTACAATGACCTCTAGAGCCTCATGTGCTCTGACTCATCTTCTATCAGTCTCCTTATTGCTGCATTCATTCCACACTGGTGTTGCTTGTGCCAGGCAAACTCCAGCCTCAGGGCCCTTGCACTTGCTATTCCCTCTGCTTAACATGTTCTTCCTTCAAATAACTGCATGGCAGCTCCTTCACTTCCTCTGGTCCGCGAGCCGACGCTCTAACCGCTGAGCCAAACCAGCCAGGGCTCCTTCACTTGCTTTCTATCTTTACTCAAAAGACCCTTCTTGCCCTGGCTGGTTTGGCTCAGCGGTTAGAGCGTCGACCTGCGGTCCTGAGAGACCCGGGTTCGGTTCCCGCTAAGGGCGCGTACCTCGGTTGCAGTTTGTCCCCGGCCCTGGTCGGTTGTGCGGGTGGCAGCCACTCGATGTGTCCCTTTCACATCGATGTTTCTCTCTCTCTCTCTCTCTGTTCCTCTCTCTTTCTCCCACTCTACCTGAACAAAAAATGGAAAAATGTCCTCGGGTGAGGATAAAAAAAAAAAAAAAAAGACCCTTCTTGAGCTCCCTCCAGCCCCCCAGCTATCCTATCAAAATTTCTTTTTTTTAAAACTCTTTCAATATAATTTGCCTATCAAAATTTCAACATCTCTTTGGCATTTCACATCTCCCGGTATTGCTTTATGTATTTTCTTCCTCTTATTTATCACTATTCAATACACCATATCATACATTTAACTAATTTATCCTCTAGTGAAATGTAGGTTCTACAGGGGTAAAGTTTTGTTTATTTTGTTCTCTGAAGTATCTCCAATGCTTAAACAGAAGTTAGTGATATTTGAAAAATGAATTTATATCCTTCTTGTAATTTAATCTTCCCAATAACCTAGTAAGATACTTTAGTATTGTTCCCATTTTATACGATGGAAAAACTGAGACACAGGGAAGCTAAGTCACTTGCCCAAGGGTCACACAGCTAGGAAATGGAACCTGGCGGAATATTCTACCCCCTTACTTTACTAACCTCATCTATTTATTTTTATTTTTTTTACCAACCTCATTTATTTTTATTTTTTTTATCCTCACCCGAGGACATTTTTTTTGCATTTATCTTCAGATAGAGCAGGAGGGAGAGGAGGGGAAGAGAGAGAAAGAAACATCGATGTGTGAGAGACACATCGAGTGGTTGCCACCCCCACAACCCCAACCAGGGCCGGGGACAAACTGCAACCGAGGTACGTGCCCTTAGCGGGAACTGAACCTGGGACTCTCCGGTCTGCAGGCTGATGCTCTAACTGCTAAGCCAAACAGGCCAGGGCTCAACCTCACTTATTATCATTACTTGTACTATTTTAATTACTTTTCTCATCACTTATTTATTGATTTATTTAAATTATTGACCGATTGATTGATATTAGAGAAGGGAGAGAGATTGAGAGAGAGAGGGAGAGATCCATTTGTTGTTTGCACTTATTGATGCACTCATTGATTGATTCTTGTATGTGCCCTGACCGGGGATCAAACCTACAACCTTGGTGTATTGGGACAATGCTCTAAACAACTGAGCTACCCAGCCAGTGCCTTACTTAGTTTTTTAGCTGCACACTCTTCAATCATTTATGTGATAACAACTGTATATTTTGTATAACAGGACTAGCAAGATAACTCGGTCTTTCCTCCAGCATGATTGATTAAAATTAGTTTTGTTTTTTTTAATCCTCACCCGGGGACATTTTTCCATTTTTTGTTCAGGTAGAGTGAGAGGGAGAGAGAGAGAGAAACATCGACGTGAAAGGAACACATCGAGTGGCTGCCACCCGCACGACCGACCAGGGCCAGGGACAAACTGCAACCGAGGTACGTGCCCTTAGCGGGAACCGAACCCAGGTCTCTCAGGACCGCAGGCCGACGCTCTAACCGCTGAGCCAAACCGGCCAGGGCTATTCTGCACTTTCATATCGCTACACTGGGGAGGACTTCACAGTGGGCATTGGGAGTATTCCTGGAGGGGAAGTCATCCTGGGGCATACATGTAAGAAGCTAGGACCCTATAAAATATATACCCCAAACCTAAACCCAGACCGACGTCCCCTTCGTCAGATTCCATGAACGCTTGTGGCCATCTGACATGAGTGGTGTGATCGGGGAAATTCAGTGGAAAGGGAGTGGTCTGGACTGACTGTGGTTAATATATCTCACTTTTGCAAATTTTATAAAAATATATAATCCCACTTCTAGGAATATACCCTAAGAAGCCTGAAACACCAATCAGAAAGAATATATGTACCCCCATGTTCATAGCAGCACTATTTACAATAGCTAAGATCTGGAAACAGCCCAAGTGTCCATCAGTAGATGAATGGATAAAAAAGCTGTGGTACATATACACAATGGAGTACTATGCAGCTATAAGAAAGAAAGATCTCTTATCCCTTGGGATGACAAGGAGGGACCTGGAAAGTATTATCCTAAGCAAAACAAGCCAAACAGAGAAAGACAAGTATCATATGATCTCACTTATTTGTGTGATATAATGAACATAAGAGTCTGAGAATGGGGTAGTCCCAGAGACGTGGAAGTGGGGTACAGACTGACAATCCCCAGAACAAGGGATGGTGGGGGAGAGATAAACCACAGAACTTATATGCATGTATGCATGAACAAAGGTCATGGACAACAAAGCTGGGGACAGGGTGGGGAGGAAGGGGTAGGGGGGAATCAGTGGGGGGGGAAAGGAGAAACATCTGTAACAAAAATTAATTATTTAATTAAGAAATAAATAAATAAAATCAATAAAGGAAAAATAAATAAATAAAATGTTTTACATTCAAAAAAGAAAAAAATATATAATCCCATGCAAAAAATGTATCCTAAAGCTTAAGCATCACCAGTTTCATGGTAAATCCATTCCCGCTGAAGGCAGACTTTAGTCCTCCAAGGCCTAGCCTTGGACATCATGCACAACAGATAGCATGGTTGCATCAGATGTCAGCTCTAGAAGGGAGAGCCACTAGACAGCGTCGGGACCAGTGGTTTTAACCTTCCCCTCGAGTCCTGGGACTCTGAGGTGGTGTCTCAAAGGCTTCCACGGGGGTTTCTTGAAACATGGAGCACCTCTGTTTACAGAGTAATGATGACATTAAGAGTCATTATCCAGCCCAATATGCACTGGCGCTTTACAATGTGACAGCCACTCTTCTAAGTACCCACCCTATATCAAGTTACTTCACCCTTACAACATACCTATGAAGTTGGAACTATCATCCCATTGTTCAGATGAGGAAAGTGAGACTTGAAAAGTTTCCATGTAGGAAAACTTTAGAAAAAGAAAAAGAAAATTGTTCTAATAAGTTTTGAAAAAGCCTGAAATGGCCCAGGCCCTTTCTTTTACACATGGGGGCCTAAAACCCAGAAAAAGGCAGGTTATTTGGTCAACACCATGCGTTTATTCTTATGTCCTGGATACCTGCCCTATGCCAGACGTTGTGCTATGACCCAGGGTTCAGAGATCAACAAGATAGTCGTGGAGTGCAATTTTAGTGAGGGCCAACAGACAGTATATACAACAAGATATAAATAAGCAAAATGATTCCAATGAGTGCTGATATAATAAATTTGGGGAGAAGTGACTGAGTGACAAGGCGGGAGATTCAGACTGAGATGCTCAGGAAAGTGCGGTCTGAGGAGGCGGTCTGTGACCTGAGACCTGGATGACCTGGAGAAGCCAGCCGTGGGTGCTGTGGGAAAAGAGCACTCCAGGTGGAAAGACCGAGAGGACAAAGGCCCTGAGGCAGGAATACTTTGTAACAGAGCCGACTCCTGGTCCGGTGCTCCTTCACCACTTGCTGCCTCTTTATGCCCCCAGAGAGGCCCCTCTGGTGTCCTGGGCCCCTCTGAAGTTCGGCCCCTGTTGTGCCGACTTACCCAGGAAGCAGCAGTGCTCTGGGGCTGTGGGTCCCCTTCCCAGAAGCCCTGTGGCTGGTTCTCTCCCCAGGCTCCAACCCCAGCCCCAGCCCCAAATCTCCTTGACAACCCTAGACACAGTTTTGGTCTGAAGGAGGCTCTGCACCTGGGAGCACAAAGATCACGGTGAAGAGACCAGAGGAGCTGGCGGACTTGCCTCTCCTTGTATCCTGCCAGCCTCTCCACTTGGCCTGGCCAGGCTCCCACACCCCGGTTTCCCCAAAGACCCCAGACTAAAGATTCTGCATGTCTGCCCTACTGAGGGGTGCAGCAGGGCCTGGATGGGGGCCCATCTTCTGCAGCTGCCCCAAAGGCTGCTCCTGCCAGGGGCAGCTGCCCTGACTGTGTCCGCTCTGGAGACAGGTGAGTATAAAGGGACTTGGCTGGGTGGGCAGGAGATTGGGCCCTGCCACCCTCAGAGACTGTTTCTGCGTCAGCACTCATTCTAATGGGCTGGGACCCTTGAGTTGGGGGAGCCTGGGAAACCCTGGGCCTGGTCTTGCCTGGCACTCCCCAGTCTACCCGAACCCCTCTGGGAGACTGGAGCTCCAAGTCACCAGAAGCAGGGATGGGGGATGGGTGGGCTAGCCCTCAGATTTGGCAGTGCAAACACTGGGTTTGGAGTCAGATAGCCCTGTGTCCACACACTCACTTGGCCTCTTCCTGCGTGTCTACCAGAGATCATTGTTTCACCTTTCGAAGTCTGTTTCTTCAGTAGTAAAATGGGAATCATAATAGACCCTTGCGCCCTAGCCGGTTTGGCTCAGTGGTTAGAGCATCGGCCTGCGGTCCGGAGAGCCGGGTTCGGTTCCCGCTAAGGGCACGTACTTCGGTTGCAGTTTGTCCCCGGCCCTGGTTGGTCGTGCGGGTGGCAGCTACTCGATGTGTCCCTTTCACATCGATGTTTCCCTCTCTCTCTCTCTTCCGCTCTCTCCCTCCCACTCTGTCTGTGCAAAAAATGGAAAAATGTCCTCGGGTGAGGATTAAAAATAAAAAAATAAAAATAAATAAATAAAAAGAAAATGTATTACCGTGTATATAAGATGAGATAAATCATGCCAGATACTTAGACAGCCTGGCCCATAGAAGGTGCTCAGTTCACTAACTCTACACCTCATCCCCACACTGGCATATTGTTCCGATAGCTGAGGTTAAATCAGGGTTCTTTGGGTGGGCAGGTGCCCAACTGTGTCTACCTCATCCTTAAATAAGGCAACAATGATAGCTTGCACTGCTATAACACTCACTGAATGCCAGGCACTGTCTTAACACTGAACACGTCCACATCCACAGTCCTTAGTTTCTTTTATTTTGTGTGTGTATGTGTGTGTGCATATATATATGTGTGTATATATATATATATATTTTTTTTTTTTTTCCTTTATTGATTTTAGAGAGAGAGGAAGTGAGAGGAAGAGAGAGACAGAAACATTGATGAAAGAGAACATCAATTGGCCGCCTCCTGCATGACCCCCCCTGGGGATCAGGCCCACAACCTGGGCAAGTGGCCCAACCAGGAATTGAAACAGCGACCTCTTGGTGCATAGGTCGACGTGCAACCACTGAGCCACACCAGCCGGACCACAGAACTTAGTTTCAACTCCAAAAGACAAAAAGCTGTGAAACCCAAAATTTGTTCTTACTCGATTGACTGGCAACACTTGACCTGACTGACAGGAGGCTCTATTTATCCTGCATAGGGAAGTGTCCTTACAACTGCTCTAGAAAACGTGATCATAGAAGACTGCAACATAGTATTCTCTATGTATATACATCATGTTATCCTTCTAAAATCGGGGACAATCTGAAACACATTCTAGGGTTTTGGAATAAGAGATTGGGGGCATAAATTAAACTAAATGACTTAATCCTCACAAAAATTCTGAGATTGCTTGCTCATCTCTGTTTTACAGATGAGGAAACTGAGGCTCAGAGAGGTGAGTGACTTACTTTGGGTCACACAGCTAGCAGGAGGCAGAGCCAGGCTCGGAACTAGGCCGCCAGGTTCCAGGGTCCGTGCTTTCCCCCGCAGCCCACCTGGTGGACCGCTCGGACAGACGTGGCGGGGGGGCGGGCTGCTGCTGCGCCGGTTCTACTTCGTGGTCCCGGACACCGACTGCGGGCTCGGGGGGCGGGCAGCGGCCCCCAGCGACAGGATCCGCTTCCAGTTCCGCTGCTTCCTGGTCTACAGCCTGGTCTGCAGCCGGCATCCCCAGCGCCCAACGGCGCCACCCCAGCGGCTGCGGCGCCTGCGCCCCAGGCTCTTACTTGCTGTTCTACGAGGGTCCGCCCGGAGCGCCCCGGACCCTGGGCGCCCCTCTCTGCGGCCTGACCATCCCTGCCCCGGTGGCATCCACAGGGGACTTCCTGGGCCTGCGCCTGGTCACCAGAGGTCGCCAGCCCCGCGTGGACTTCGTGGGAGAGGTAACCTCTTTCCGGTTGGGTGGGTTAGGACTGTTTGCCAGGACCGCCCCTCCAAGCTGGGGGGTAACTGTGGGCCTGGGGCCACCAATCGGGCACTGGGAGCACTAGAAGATGGAGGGGACAGGGTCCTTAGAGAGGGAAGGAGGTGATGAGTGGTGGCAGGGTTGGGGGTGGTCACAATAAGGGACATTCCAGACCCAAAGAGCCAAACCCATAAATTTGGCTTCCGTGGATATGTATAGGACACACACACTCCCACACACAACCTCACACTCTAACAACCACTCACACACACTGTACATGTATACAACTCACACCTCATACACTTATACTCACAACTCCACACACTGCACACCCACACTGCAATATGCAACCCACATACCTCACACACTGCACTCACACACGCAGTTCACATCACACGCACACCTCATGCACCCACGGTACCACCTTGCACCCTTCCACACAACTCACACACTCTCGTGTTCGCACACTGTCTCCTCAGATGATTGCAGAGGGGCCTAGTTAGGACTCTAGTTGTAAGTGACAGAAACCCACTAAGGCAAGGAGAGGGAACGGATGTTAACACAAGTCACTCACTAGGCATTGCCTGGGGCCCTTTGCATGCCACATCTCATCTGTTCCTCCCTTACAGCGACTCTGCTGCCAGTGTTCTTGTGCTCAGATGTACACAGACGGGAGACAGGCCCCGCCCCGGAGGTTAGGTAAAGTGCCCAGGCCTCCTTGCTCACAAGAGCAGCAGCTGGGTTTTCATTGCTAGAGTACATCCTCTCCTCAAATACAGCTCAAGGCTTTAGCACCAGCAGGGTCCCCCAGGACTGCAGACACAACTCACAGGTGTCACAGCCAATGTCACGGCAGAGGCTGTGTCCAGTGATGGTGAGCAGATGAGCTGCTAAAGTCTAGATTTCAAAACCACGAAGAAGCTTTATCTCCATCTCGGGCTATAAAGCCAGACTAGAGAATTAAACATGGGATTGTGAGCACTTCAAGACAAGAACATGGGAGTCTCTGAGAGCCAGCACTGGTTCGCCAGTAACTAGACCCTGACATCAGGCCCTGGGCAGCCCTTTAACACTGAGCTTGGAGTCGGGTACTCTGTGCTGTCTCATTTGTCTTTTAAAAAAATTTTTTTTTCTTGATTGATTTTTAGAGAAGGAGGGAGAGAGAGAGAGAGAGAGAGAGAGAGAGAGAGAGAGAAACATCAATGAGAAAGCACACTGACTGGCCACCTTCCCATGTCCCCAGCCAGGGATCAGGCCCACAACCTGGGATGTGCCCTGACCGGGAATTGAACCGGCGACCTCTTGGTGCATGGGTCAACGCTCAACCACTGAGCCACACGGCCGGGCTCATTTATCTCTTTAGTCAAGTCCCACTGTACTTCTTCCCTGAAATTGTGCATAGTTTGAATTTTGGATTTTAGATTCTCTCTCTTCCCCATTAGAGTCTCTGGCTCTGGGAGGAACTATATGAAATTTGTACCCTAATTATTGAGGTCATGACCCATGGTGTGTGGGGTCCCTTTTTGGCTCCAGTAAGTTCCTATGATGTTCTGCAAACAGCTCTCACTGGCTGATTAGAAATCAACCCCTCCCTCTGCGTGCCCTCCCTCCATTTCTCCCAGTGGCCGTCCTCTCTTTTGAGGAGCAGCTGTCAGCCAGGGAGGCCAAGAATGTTGCTGCTGCTCTGTGTCTAGCAGTATTGGGCTCCAAAAAGGTGGTGGTGGTGAAGCCCTATCGCAACTCTGGCTTCCTTGGATCAGTTTTGTCATTTGAATGCAGAAGGCTCATTTCACATCCTTGGGCCGCATGCACAGTCTCAGTCGCTCCCACCTGCAAGCACACCCTGCCCAGCTCTTGCACACGCTCTTACACTTACAGTCACGTATGACTCCCCGTACACTACTGCTTTCTCTCTCATAGCCATCCACTCGTACACTGAAACACCATCTATATATTAGATTATTCATTTTCATTTGCAAATGAAAGAAATCCAACTCAAGTTGGCTTGGGGCTCTCCTATAACTGGGATATTAATGTATGGTTCAGGTATAGCTGTATCCAGGAGCGCAAGTAATGTCACCTGGGCTCTCTCTCTTTGTTTTCTTCCTCTCTCTTTGCCTTGTGTGGGTCTATTTGGCTTCCATCCCAGGCAGCTCCTCTTTCTACTTGGCGACAAGGTTACCCTGCAGCTCCAAGTCCACAATCACCCTTACAGCCAGAACATCAATGAAATAGAGAGTGAGCATCTTTTTTATGGTTCTAACAAAAGTCCTGGGGTCAAATCTGATTGGTCATGACCAGGAAAGGGAATATTCTGATGCCCATGCCCACCTCTTAGCTATGGTATTGGGCAGCCCCACCTGAACCAGCTTTCTCCACAGAATGGGATGCTGAGTGAGCCAACCTGTCTGCCACACCCTTGCACCGAGACATACAATTCTTTCACCTGTGTGCAGAGTCATGCATTTAACAAATATAAATTGAGCACCTGCAAGTTGCCAGAGGCTGTTCTAGGCTCTCCCTAGAGAACAAGTGAGAAGCTTCTGCCCTCTTTGAACTGGTATTTTGGTGGGGGAGACAGACCAAAAACAAATAGTCAAGTAAATCGTTATACTGCTTAGGCGGGACATGCTGCAGGGGAACTCAGATCAGGAGCAAGAGGGTGGGAGACTGGGGGAGGGGTGGTGTGCTGTTCTCATGTGGAGGCTTGGGAAGGCCTCCCCACATCACATCTGAGTGGACACCTGGAGGGAGCCACGCCATGACCTGGGGACAATGCCAGGCAGAGCGGCTGGCAGGTACAACGCCGGGAGTGAGGATTTGCTTGGAAGTGTTCGGGTTCACTGGGATACTGCAGGCTGCACGCACGCACACGTGCAGACACGGCCACACCCCCTGTGTGCCACAGTGTTTATGAGCATGGGACTGAATTCCTACTCTGCTACTTAGATGTGGGCTGTGTGGCCTTGGCCAAGTGACCTGACCTCCCCGTGCCTCAGTTTTCTCTTCTCAAATGGGGCTAATGACAGTATTTACCCCACAGGGTTATTGTGAGAACTTAATGAGCTGGGATGTGAATGAAGAAAGTGTTTAGAACCATTCCTGGCAAGGAACAAAAACTCAATGAATGTTAGCTGCCATCATCATCAACATCATCATCATCATTATCATAAGACTGTCTCCCATGAAATGCTCAATCATGCTCTCGTCTGCACACACATGGGAACAGCCTTCTCCTCCCACCTCCCACATTTCCTCACTATAGGACCGCACATCCTGCTGTGTTATGGGCTGGCCTACGGTCCTCATAACATGCCTCCCCTTTTGGCCTCAGGTCCCTAGTTCCGCTGTCGGAATGGCAGGTGCGTCCCCCCGAGCCTGGTGTGCGATCTCTGGGGCATGGACAACTGTGGTGACGGCAGTGACCAGGCTTCCTGGCCACCAGCCAGCTGCAGCCAGTGATGGGTGCAGCCTGGGCCCTGCTGAGCAGCTAGAAGGGAAGCCAGGGCCCAGCTCCCCTTTCCTAGGGCAGGGCCAGTGGGCGGGCGGGAGGCAGGGGTGTGGTAGAAGAGAATAAGGGAGAGCGCAGTTGGGGGGAATTGCTTTAGAGCCGAGTTCCTGAGGATCAGAGCAAGTTAGAGCCAGAATGACACTAGAGATGATTTAATCCAGATTTAATCCAGCTGTTTTATCCTCACCCGAGGACATTTTTGCACTTATCTTCAGATAGAGTGGGAGGGAGAGAGGGAGGAAGAGAGAGAGAAACATCAATGTGAGAGACACATCAACTGGCTGCCACCCACATGACCCCAACCAGGGCTGGGAACAAACTGCCCTCAGCGGGAACCAAACCCAGGTCTCTCTGGTCCCCGGGCCTACGCTCTAACCGCTGAGCCAAACCGGCCAGGGCTAATCCAGATGCTTTCAAATGGCATATTAGTGGTGGAAGCTCTTCCTAAAAGGGGCTTTGCACAGAGGCCCAAGACATCACGAAGAGAGATGATCTATTTAAGTGGACGTGAAGGGCTCCGTGTCCCATTGAGGAACCTGACTTAGACTCTCAAGACTTCCTTTGAAAACCATTAAGTCTGACTCACACATTTTGCAGATGGAAAAACTGAGGCCTAGGGAGGAGAAATGACTCTATGGCCCAAGGTCCTAGTCAGTGAGTGGCATAACCTCTGAGTACAGAGAGACCAGATCACCCAGGAATATCCTTCTTGGGAATCTGGAGATGCCCCTTCTCCCCACCTCCCAGGGCTGGCATATACTGTTGAACAGGTTGTTTATGCAAAAAAAGCACCTGGCTGGCCCTGACCGGTTTTGCTCAGCGGTTAGAGCATCAGCTCGCGGACCAATGAGTCTTGGGTTCGATTCTGGTCAAGGGCATGTACTTCAATTGCAGTTTGTCCCTGGCCCTGGTTGGGGTTGTGCGGGTGGCAACCAGTCGATGTGTCTCTCTCGCACCGATGTGTCTCTCTCTCTTTCTCTCTCTCTCTCTCTCTCTCTCTCCTTCCTTCCCTCCTGCTCTATCTGAAGATAAATAGAAGAATATCCTGGGGTGAGGATAAAAAAAAAAAAAGCACGTGGCTGGGGGGTGAGATCCAGCTGCCCAGGCTCCTTGGCAGGTTCTCGCCATCTCCCTGGCATTCTGTGCTTTGTGCCATGAGGCTCAGCCCTTACGTCCCGCCCCCCCGTCCTGCATACCCATTCCCTCGGTGGTCTCCTTTGTAGCGCATCACCAGCTGGACTGCCTTTGAACTCTGGTTACATAACCGCCTCCCTGTTCTCTCCACATGGACGTGTAGGCGGCATCGCAAATGTCACTTGGCCCAGCACTGAACTCCTGATGCACGGCTGTCGGTGACACTTTATTCCTTTTGTAGCTCATAACCAAGCCATCAGCATCAATCTGCCTGATGGTTTTCTCACCATAAAAATGGGAGTTAGGGGTTATTAGGAGAAAGACTAGCGGTAAAGTGTCACTTTCATGACATCGTATCAAAGGTACATACCACCAACCTGAAGCGTGGCTGTTGATGTTGGCCTTGAACCTGGCTGAGGTCTGTTTGTCAGGTTTCTCCACTGTTCCTCTTTCTGCCTCCTCTCTCCACACTGTCTCTTTGGGAGGAAGTCACTGCCCCCTGGCTGGAGGAGCCCTCTAAGACAGTCAGTCATCCACTCCCACGCTCAGAACTCCCCAAGCTCCTCGCTCCAACACAAAGCCCAGCCTCCCAGGGGCTCACCTGCCCTCGCTCCCTCAGCTCCTCCACACTGTTCCCCAGCAGCTCCTTCCACACCGGTCTTGTCTTGCCTTGGTCTCAAGACTAGCTCTCTCCTCTGCCTGGAAGATGCTTTCCCAGAGACTTTCATGCTCATTCCTTTGCCTCCCACGGGTCTCTGCTTAACCCCCACTCTTAGTGAGCTCTCTTATGACCCCTTTATTTAAAAACAACAGCCCTGTATCCATGGATGGGTGAATGGATAAACAAAACATGATATGTTTTCAAAACACAATGGAATATTATTCGGCCCTACAAAGGCAATTCGGACACATGCTACAACATGGACAAGACCTTGAAGACGTGCTGTTAATTGAAAGAAGCTAAACAAAAAAGGATAGATGGTGTATGATTCCACTTATATGAGACACCTAGAGTCCTCAAAACCACAGAAAGTAGAATGGTGGTTGCCAGAACTGTGGTGGGCAGAGAATGGGGAGTCAGTGGTTAATGGGAACTGTCTCAGTTTTGCAAAATGAAGAGAGTTCTGGATGATGGTGATGGTTGCACAACACTGTGAACGTGCTTAATACCACTGAGCTGTGCACTTTAACAGAAGGTTAATGGTTTGTGGTATATTTCACCACAATTAAAAAATTAAAAAAAAAAAAAGCAACCCTGCTCCTAGACAACATGCCCTGTCCTTTTTCTCTGCTTTATTAAAAAAAAATGTTTTTAGTGATTTTAGGGAGAGAGAGAGACAGAGAGAGAGAAACACCAACCAGCTGCTCCCTCCACTAGGGATCAAACCTGCAACCCAGGCATGTGCCCTGACTGGGAATCAAACCAGCGACCTCCTGGTGCATGGGATGAGGCTCAATCCACTGAGCCACACCAGCCAGGGCTCCCTGCTTAATTTTATCTCCATTTGACATGATATAATTTCTTTTGTGTCTTCTCACACTAAACTGCCAGTTCCATAAAGACATTTTTGTCTATTTTGCTGTTGTATCCCTCTAGTCCCTAGAACAATGCCAGGGGCAGAGCAGATGCTTGAGAAAGACAGTCAAATGAGTGGAAGAATGAACCTCTCTATGCCTGTTTCCTTATCTGTAAAATACGGTGAAAAAACTCACTGTTCAGGGTTGTGTGAAACACTGTAGGTAAAGGGCCAGCGCCGAGCATGGTGTTCGGTGCACATGCTCCTTCCTGGGAAGCAGCTCTATTCATACACCCCAGGCCCTGGAGCTAGAACGCATGAGTTCCAGTCCGGCTGTGTGACCTGGGCAAGCGACTTAACCTCACTTCCCTGATCTATAAAATGGAAATAATAATGGTCACAAACTCAGAGAGGTCGGGGGAGGATTAAATGAGACAGTCATGCCTTAGAAGGGGCAGCTCTCAGTGTTAGCTCTGTTATTTCCCAATGCAGGTCCCTCTCTGATGCCCAGCCAGGAGGGAAGTATGGAGGCTGATACCTCCAAGCCCCTGAGTGTCTCCCCAGCTCTAGGTTAAGCAGGCCCCCTGTAGCCTGCAGCTGGGAGCAGTGCCCAAGCAGGCAGGGGCCCTGCCCAGCAGGATGCAGTTCTGGAAGGTAGGTGGCTCTTGTTACCACCTGCTCCCACACCTCCCACCAAGGTCACACTCGTCCCTCTCCAGGTGTTGTGAACTGGGCTGAGGCCCGAGTGGAATCTCCCTTTCCTTCCACAGGTCCCCAGCTACGGAAGGTGGCACTGGCTTCCTCGCTGCTCCTGGCCTGTGCTGGCCTCCTCTGGTGCTGTTGCTCCTCTAGCCAGCAGGCCTGGTGGGCTGGTGCCCGTTGCCTCTGCCTTAGCTGCATCATCTGTGACACATGTCCTGGCCAGGTGGCCCCTGGGGAGCTGCGGTGGAGCAGAACAGCCTTCCAAGGTCAGGGAGGCCATTCATAGAGAGGCTGCAGCTTCAGAGGAAGGGGAGTGGGCTCTGGAGACGGACAGACCCCGGGTTCTGTCCCCATCCCCCAGAGGACTGTGTGACCTTGGGCAGGTTGCGTAGCCCTCTGAGACGCAAGTCTGCTCCTCTGGAAAGTGGGAGGATTCCTGCCTCAGGAGGTTGTGGGGAAGGCCACAGGAGGTAACTGGCCCTGTAGCTCGCCTGGTGGCTGACACTCTGCTGGACCAGGGAAGAGCAGGACCTCCATGCCCAGTGCAGGAAGCAGGGGCCTCGAAGCTGCCTTGATTCACCCCCAGACCTCATGGGGCCTGCTTTGCCCCACCCTGTCCCGCCCTCAGGTTCCACCCAATCAAGCCCTCCTCAAAGACACAAGGGACCGCCCTGGCGGGGATAGCACCGTTTATTAAGAAAGATCAAGACAAAGACCACAGGAGGGTCCCTTCTAGGACAGAGACCAGGCGTCCTGACCCAACATCTGGGGGTCTGCTGGTAGGGAGGGCACTTGCCCCCCGCTGGGCCCTCAGGTTCCCACAGATGGGGCAGGGCTGTCATGGCCCCTTCCTGTCCCTCCACCATAAGTCCTGGCTTCCCCCACCCAAGGCACTAGCCCTTTCCAACCACCAACGCCCGCCTCCCCCCATGTCCCTTGGGCCTTCACTTCCAGAGCGGTGGGGGGTTGGCGGAGACCCTCTCAGTGCTGGGCTCTGCCTTCAGCAGCTCCTGGTGGGAGCTGGGGTGGTTTCCTCGCAGCCCCCGAGGGCAGGGACCCTGGGCCAGGTGTCAGGTAGAGGGGAAGGTGGAAGTGGGCTGGGACATGGGCTAATGGGGGTGGGGGCTGCCTGTCCAGGGGTAAGCTGCCTTTTGCTCCACAGTTGGCACTAAAGAGCTTTTGCTACCCAGAGGAGGGTGGCAAAGGCCACTGCGATGCCCTCTGCTCCTAGTGGCTGGTGAAGACTCAGGCTGTACACCGAGGCTGGCTCTTGTAGGGACGGCGGTGCCCGAGGGCTGCAGAAATGGGCGGCCCAGCTCTGCAGTGGGGGCTCTGCTGGTGGGGGCCCTCCGCCACCACGCCTGCCCCCCTGAGGCACCTGCTCCCATCCAGCATGCACTGCTCCCCAGCCTGTGGCTTTGCCCAGGTGTGTTTGTGTGGGGGATGGCATGCCCACCCTCCAGTCCAGCCCAGGGCAGTAGCAGCAAAGCGTGGCATCGCCTCAGTTTCTTACAAAATATTCATAATAATAATATTAATAATAATAGACTCGACGTTGTGGGGCTGGGGCGCTGCCCAAGAGTCCTTGTGGCCAGGTAGCTGCCTACGAGGGGCAGGGACGCGTGTTGAACCCCGCCTGGGCACTGTGCTGCAGGTCCAGTGGCTGTGGGGGAGGGGCGCCGGGTCCGGCCGAGTGCAGCACCAGGTTCCTGAGACAGCCGGTGAGGCCCGAGGAGAACCTGCCCCTGGTCAGTGTGGCCACGTCGGGGGCTCCGCCTAGGGGAGGGGAGAGACAGGACCTGTCAGCTCCAAGGCCCCAGAGGAGAGGAAGGCATGTCCCCGAGCCCTGCACCAAGGCCTGATCCCGGGACTTACCGATGTAGATGCTGCTCTTGGTGTTGACCGCCACGTTCGGGCCTGGGGACTGGCCGCTGACCACCTCCTCACCATCCACCTGGATGGAGCCTCTCCGGCCCTGTCTGTGGTGGGTGGAACCGGGTCAGGCCCTTCACCATCTGTTCTCGTGCTCCTTGACCCGAGGAGCCCTTCCTTTTCTACAAGACTCCAGAGAAGTCTGCTCCCCAGCTCCTTCCTTCCCCACTGGATGAGATCTGGCCCCTACACAGCTCCTAGCACCCACCCAGGTTCCATCCACCCCAGGTGCTTACCCTCCCACCCCCACGGAGTTCCGTCCTGCCCCCAAGGCAGTGCTTGGCTCTCCCCGACCCCGGCTTCAAGTTGTCTCCCCAGCACCCAGTGCCTCCTTCCCCAGGCACGGTGAGGCCCTTGCCCTAGTGCCAGGGCGGGCTCCCTTACCGCAGCGCCGTCACCCGATGCCACTCGCCGTCATTGATGGGGTCCTCAGAGATGAGGCGGGCCTCCCCACTGCCCAGCTGGTAGCTGCAGTCACACAGGCCCAGAAAGGTGTGAGGTGGGGCAGGACGGGGTGGGTGTCACCGGGGCACTGGGAGCTGCGGCTTCTCGTGGGAAGATCCATGGGGCTGACTAGAGGGGAGCCACTGAGGGGGTGAGGGAGGCCGGGGAAGGGAGAGGACCCACCTGAAGACAAGGTGCCCATCCTGAAGCCCGAGACTGATGAAGTCCTTCCCTTGGCTGGTCTCGCCCACCTCCTGCCAGGGAAGCAGAGGTCTCTGGGGTCCTAGCCTGGAGAGCTGAGGCCCCTGAGGGTGGTGGCCTCCGCCTTTTCTTTCCCACTCCCCTGGCCACTGGAGGGCTGGGAACACGAAGGCCAGGGCTGGACCCCGCACTCACCATGCCCTGCCAGAGCAGGAGGCCGCTGGCTGTGCTGGTCCGAAGTTCCAGCTGGATGGTCTCAGGTACCGTGGGCAGGCTGCGTGGGGTGGGGAGCAGGTGAGGGGGCAGAAGTCCCAGATTCCCATCCCCCTCCCTGCGGCCTGCACCCTCCCTGGGCTTACAGGCTCTCCCAACACCCACCCACCTCCTGGAGAAGACCTGGCTGGGGAGGACTAGGAAGCCACCGTCATGGAAATACGCTCCGTACTGTCCTGGGGCGTCTGCGGGAGGAAAGGGGGACATAAGACAGCTGCCCACCTCGCAGTACCCACCTGGCATCGGTTCCCTTGACCCCACCTCCACCCCGACATGTACGACCACAGGGCCCTGAACCTGCAGTCACTGGAGAGCCAAAGGGCTGTGGACAGAATTCGGGGGCCTGTGAACTTGGATGGGGAAACATTGTTCACTCACGTCTCACTGACATTGAGCAGTTTCTTTAATTACGCGTGTAGGCTACAAACTACAGGAGTAGCAGCAGGACCTGGGACTTTCTTGCTGATAGATTTCCTTTGCGAATTACAGCAGGTGCAAATATCTCAGAACACTGTTGATGCTTACTGAAATTGTGATAGCTCTTAGGACCAGCACTAGATCTTGTTATTTAATGTTGATAAAGAAGCACATAGGTGAGGGAAGAACCAAAGAACTTATATGCATATATGCACAACCAATCGACACAGACACTAGGCTGGGGAAGGCAGGCAGGGGGCAGGAACAGGAAGGGGGGGTCAGTGGGGAAAAAAAGGGGGACATCTGTAATACTTTCAACAATTAAAAAAAAGCACATAGATTACAATTGATATATATTGATAATCTTATTTCAGTATAATTGGTTTCCTATGCATTTAAAAAAATATGTTTTTATTGATTTTTTTAGACAGAGAGAGATAGAAACATCGATGTCAGAGAGAAACATCGATTGGCTGCCTCCTGCACACCCCTTACTGGGATTGAGCCTGCAACCTGGGCACGTGCCCTGAATCAGAAATCGAACCGGGACCTCTCAGTCCATGGGACATCACTCAATCCACTGAGCCACACCAGCTGGGCCCTATGCACTTTTTTTTGTTGTTGTTAATCTTCACCTGAGAATACTTTTCCATTGGTTTTTAGATAGAGTGGAAAGGAAGAAGGGAGAGAGAGAAACATCGATGTGAGAGAGACACATTGATTGGCTGCCTTCTGCATGACCCCAACTGGGGTCAGTGATCTAACCTGCAACCCAGGTACATGCCCTTGACTGGTAATCGAACCTGCGACCCTTTGGTTTGAGGGCTGATGCTCCAGCTGCTAAGCCAAACTGCATTTTTTAAAAAGCAGTCAGTAGGTCCAGGTAGGGTGAGCAACCATCCCTATTTGCTAAGTCTTTGCCGTGGTTTTAGCTCTGGAAGTCCCATATCCCAAGAAACCCCTCAGCCCTGAGGAAACTGGGACAGTTGGTCACCTGAGTCCAGGGCACCTGAAAGCTTCAGAACCTTTGTGATCCTTCCATCTCTCAGATGGGAAGACAGGCTCAGGGTGAGTAACTCGCCCCGGAAGTGGGAAGTCTGGATGGCAACCTGACCTTTTGGCTCTAATGTCCATACTGGGGCAGCTCCAACAGCCCTAGCCCTACCTGCTCAGACCCATCCCACAGGCCAGCGCTGGGCCCTGTGGGCCTGGAAGCTACAAGGGTTGGGGATACTTGGCCATTCTCTACCAAACAAGAGGAGAACAGCTAACATTTACCAAGCACCTACTATGTGCCAATCACTGTGCAGAGAGTTCCACATCCAGCTATAAACATAACTTCATTTACCAGATCCTTACAATAATCCCACAACTTATATATAATATTAATAAAAGCTAACATTAGATACCCACTCTGGACCAGACGTTATTCTAAGCACTTTATTTTTTTTTAAATATTTAAATTTTTTTCTTTATTGATTTTAGAGAGAGAAGAAGGGAGAGGGAGAGAGAGATAGAAACATCGATGAGAGAGAACATTGATTGGCCACCTCCTGCATGCCCCCCACTGGGGATCGGGCCCACAACCTGGGCATGTGCCCTGACCGGGAATCGAACCGGTGACCTCTTGGTGCAGGGGTCAATGCTCAGCCACTGAGCCACCCAGGCTGGGCTATTCTAAGCATTTTAAATACATTAAATAATTTTACTCTCACACACAAAATTTTATCCAAAGCCTTGTGGAAAGATGTTATTTCTCTCTATTGTATACATGAGGAAACTGGCACAGAGAGGTTAAGTGACTCACTCAAAGTCACACAGCTACTAAGTGACAGGGCTAGGGTTTGAAGCCAGGCAGGCTAACTTCAGAGTTCATGCTCTTACCCACTGTATCACTACCTCTCCTACTACATTACATTAGTGATAAATAGGATAATATCTAGCCCAGACAGTGTGGTTCAGTGGTTGAGCTCAACCCATGCACCAAGAAGTCGCCAGTTCAAGTCCTGGTCAGGGCACATTCCCAGGTAGTGGGCCAAATCCCTAGTGGGGAACATGCAGGAGGTGGCCAATTGATGTTCTCTCTCATCAATGTTCCTATCTCTCTCTCCCTCTCCTTTCCTCTCTCTCTAAAATCAATGAAGAAAAAATAAATAAATAAAAAGATAATATCTGTAAAGCAGTTAACATAGTGCCTGTGAATGTTCAATAAACACTCATTTTAAATTATTATCACTGTTTTTATTTATTTATTATTATTATTATTTTTTTTATCCTCACCTGAGGACATTTTTGCATTTATCTTCAGACAGAGCGGGAGGGAGAGAGGGGGGAAGAGAGAGAGAGAGAGAAACATCGATGTGAGAGAGACACATCGACTGGTTGCCACCCACTTGACCCAATCGGGGCCGGGGACAAACTGCAACCAAGGCACATGCCCTTAGTGGGAACTGAACCCGGGACTCCCTGGTCCGCGGGCCGACGCTCTAACTGCTCAGCCAAACTGGCCAGGGCCTATTATCACTGCTTTTACACAGACTGTGGAATCCCTGAGAACGAGGGTCCTGCCTTATTCATCTTATATTTACTGCTCCCAGGACAAGGATGGTCACACAATAGATGTTTGTTGACAGAATGCATGAATATAGAGGAAGAAACTGAGATCAGAGTGGTTTAAGGGCCTACCCAAGGTCACCTAGCCAGTAAGTATATGGTAGGACCCAGCTCTGTGTGGCTTTGCTCTTCTTTATTCTGCCTGTTTGTGCCCAGCGGGCCTCTCCCACGAACCTGTCTGTTTAGAGGCCAGAACGAAAGGCGTGGGGTAATTGGACAAGGGGCTGAGAGACCTGACGCCAGGAAGGAGCCAGGCCCGCTCAGCTCCTCTGGCTGGCCACAGCAAATACATACCGTTGCCCCCACTACCTTCAAGACGCCAGTCGGACTCTGTTGTGCCATGTCCAGAGCCTAAGGAGAAAAGCAGGGTCCAGTGAGTGGGCACAGATACTCATGGGTACTCTGTCCAGCCCCAGAGCCCCCAAAACGGGGTGGAGAAGCCAGGGTGGTTACCTTGTTGGCAGCGTGGGCCAGAGAAGCCAGGGGGACAGAGGCAGTGGGTGCCCTGGCAGGTGCCGCCATGCAGACAGGGCTCACGGAGCTGGCAGGGGTTCTCCTCATGCTCGCAGAGGTCTCCTGCGGGTCATGGAGAGGTGAGTATGCAGGGGTGGGAGTTGCTGCTGACCACCCTGCACTCCTCCCCCTCCCAGCGCCTGGGCAGGCTCACACACCTTTGAAGCCATCTCGACACAGGCACTGGACCTCATACTCGCCAGCAGGAAAGCACGTGGCGCCGTTCTGGCAAGGCTGGCGCTCACACGGGGAGCTGTCATAGCACTGCCCGATGCCCCGACTGCCCAGGAAGCTGTAGGTGAGGTCTAGCCGCTTTCCATTCACTGACACCTGTGGGCAGAGGCACACTGAAGGACTCAAGCCAACACAGCAGGCAGGGGCACGGTGTCCCAGCAGAGAGGATGCAGCAGAGGCAGCTGGGAACCCAAGCTGGAACCTGAGCAGGAACGTGGGACTGCAGAGCAGGGCGGGGAGGAAGAGCAGCGCCCACTGTGCACCGCCAACATCCATCAGTACCGTCAATGCTCAGTACAACCCTTCAAATCAGGTACAATTATCCCCGTTTTACAGAGAAGGAAACTGAGGCTCAGAGGTGAAGTTTCTGGCTCCAAAGGCCTTCAGCTGGCTGCAGGTGGAGGGACCTGGTCTTCACCCCTCCCCTCCCCACTTGTCCTCTGGAAGCTGCCCCTCACCTCGCCAATGCAGCCACGGAAGGGAGTGCTGATATTGGCAGCCGGGGACAGTTGCACGGAGGGCTCCACGCCACCGAGGTAGAGGAGGGTGTGCAGATTGAGGCCTTGGCTCTTGCCCGGCGAGGAGCGCAGCACAGGGCGTCCGCCGTTCACCCGCAGGCTGCCGTCCTTGTTGAGGCGCTCGGCGGACACGCGGTGCCAGCGGCTAAGGGCCAGCGGCTCTGCGCTCCGCAGAACAGCCAGCCCTGGGGAGGAAGCCAGGGAGGGGTGACGCCCAGTGACCCCGTCCTACCCGGCCCACAGAGACCTGAGTAGATAGGGAACTTCTTTGGCCTCCTGGTGTTCCGTGAGGAACCTGAGAGATCTAGGAACTTGACTAAAGTCGCACAGAGAAGGAAAGGAGCAGGGGACTTCACCTGGCCTGACTTCTGAATTTATTCCTCTGGGCCTCCTCGGGGCACAGACAGCCAAGGGGGGCACAGAGCGTGGCACCGAGAGCCCATGTGCACTCGGTGTCCAGTGCTCACCTGACCCCAGTTCGTAGCGGAACTCCAGGTGGCCACCGACCATCGCCAGGGACACGAAGTCTTCCACAGGCTCGCGCTTCCCCCCACTGAACAGCAGGATTCCGTTGGGTGCCAGAGGCTTGAACTCGATGTCCAGGCGTAGCTCGTGGTGTGTGTTGGTGAGGGCGGGCAGCACCAGATAGGAGCCCGTGCCCGACATGGAGGGAGTGGTCACAGTCACACCTGCGGCAGCCACAGCTCAGCCGGGGGCAGTGGGGGTACCAGAGTTCCAGGAGGGGTCCGAGTACTCAGCCTGCTCTGGGACCCCTGCCCATCTCACTCTCTAGTCCCAGAGGCTCACAGGAACCCCTGGCCACCCGGCTCTGCAGGCCAGGCTGAGAGGGTCTCCAGTAAGATGGACATCCCTTTTGGGGCCTCTCATGCAAGGGATTCAGACCGGGCAGAAACTTGGCCAGGTGACTTTGAGGCCCCCTGGCTCTAGTATAATTTTACCATCCCAGGGCCCATCATGGCCTCAAAGGGCCCCTGCCCAGCTTCCCCGATTCCTCCTGGGATCCCTGGGGGGTCTTAGCCTGGGCTCCACTCACCTTCCTCACACCTCAACCCGAAGCGGCCCAGGTGGCAGCGGCAGGTGTAGCCTCGGCCATCAGGCCGGTTCACACAGGTAGCATCGGGCCCACAGGCCTCTGGAGGACACACAGGCCACAAGGAGGACACTGAGGTGACCCAAGGGAAGGTGTGGTCCTGATGCCAAAGTCCTACCTATTGCACCCCAGGGCCTCGGCTATCTAGGGCTTGGCCAGACTCAGCAGGAGGAATGGATTAGAGCAAGGACGGGGCCAGAGGGGGCTGGGCAGGGGCCGGCATCGGGGGAAGTGAATGAGTGACTCTGTGATGTTCCTGAAACACTGTACCCAGACAACAGTATGGGGGTGATGAGTATGTGGGTGGCAGGTAACAGGAGAGCGCCTTGGTAACAGATGGGAAGGTGGTATTGCCTGGACCGCACTGATGGGCGGTGAGTACCTGGGCATCAGTAATCGGGGTGAGTACTTGGGCAGCAGAGATGGGAGGCAGAGCGGTATGAGGGTGGCAGAGGTGGAAGTCAGGTGGCAGGAGTGGTAAGCAGATGGGTGAGAGTAACCGGGTATGGCAAGCACAGGTGGCAGTTGGGGTATGGGTGGATATGAAGGGGCACAGGCAAGTGCCCAGTGTGACAGTGATCAGAGGGTGGGTACACACCTGAGTGGCAGTGCAGGGCCTGGGAGTGCTCACAGCGGCTCCCAGTGAAGCCAGCTGGGCAGGTGCACACGTAGCTGCTGCTCTTCGAGTCCTGGCACCAGCCCCCGTTCTGTAAGGCAGCCCCCAGAGGTCAGGCCGAGAACACTCTGGGCCTCCCCTACTCTCCACAGGGCCCTGCATGTGAGGCGTGGGGTTACCTGGCAAGGCTGGTCCCGACAGGTGGGGCAGTGGGAGATGCCATGTGCTGTGAGGTTGAGGTCATGGAAGACAATCTCCTCACCCTGGATTTGTAGCTCCCGGACACAGCCTGGGGGGTGAGCAGGTGGATGAGCATAGGTGGGGGTGCTGCGAGGCTGGCTCCCAGGCTCCCATGGGCTCTGCCAGCCAGCCAGGTAAGGCTTGGCCAGGGCTGCAGATGGGGAGGGGCTCACCTATGAAGCCACTGCTCAGCCCCGCTTTGGGGATGGCACCATAGTCAGGGTAGCCACCCAGGTAGAGCTCCTCATTCAAGTCCAAGCCCTGGAACTTGCCCTGGGGAGTGGAAAGGTCAGGAACTTCAGGCAGGCTGGGTGGAGGTGGGGCAGAGGCTGGGAATAGGGGGATGGGTTGGGTCTCACCTGGGAGGTCCCATTGACTGGGGCCAGGCTGCCCACAATCAGGGAGCCTTGGGTGAGGCTGCGCAGCAGGGTCACGGTGTGGAACTGGCCCAGCGCCAGCGGTGTGGGGTGGCGGATGGTGGCCATGCCTGAGCCTGCATCAAACCTGCTCCATGGGGCAGGGGCAGGGCCAGGGCAGGAGAGAGTGGATGTCTGGTTTTTAAGAAGGGCTGGCAAGGGGCCCAGCCTGCGCAAAGGTAACATCACCATTCCCTGTGGTCCCGCTTCAGTTCCTGGCCCTGTCTTGTCTTCTTACCCCATTACCTACCCCCAGCTCAGCCCACCCCTGTGCCTTCCCTAGCTCTTCTGCCACTCCCCTGGCCTGGAGCTTGTCCAGAACAGCCCCGGGGTTCTAACTGCCCCCAGTTCCAGGGCCTGCAGCCTAGCACCTGGCCTCACTGTCCTCAGCACGGTCTCTGAGATCACCTTATTTCTTCCCTTCTTTGTTTACAGCTGGTCTTCTGCAACTAGAATATACTCTTCCGCAAAGGCCTGAACTTGATGTGTTTTGTTTATCCCTGAATCAGTGCCTGGCACATAGCAGGTATTTAGCAATAACTGTCGAATGAATGAATGAATGAATGAATGAATTAATGAATCCTGACTGCAGCAGTCCCACCTCCTAAGGATTTCTGTGCAACTCTCAAGCTGCTTCCTCCTCCCTGACTGGCGTACTGTGCCCACTCCAGCAGATCAGGTGGTCGCTGAGGGTAATGACCACATCTCCTTCCTCCAAAACCTCTGTGTACAACTCAGGCCAGGGTAGTGTATGTATGACGAAAGCCCTGCAGTCTAATCTCCCAGCCCCCTCCCACTGTTAATGGGGAGGCCAAGGGTCTCACCGGAACTCGGGCCTTCCTCCCACGAGGCCGAAGGAGATGAAGTCGGGCAGCCTGTTGGCCAGGTTGGTGCTGCCTGGGATCCGCTTCTGCCCATTGTACAGCAGCATCCCTGGTAGGCACAGCTGTGTAAGGGCCTCCCAGCCAGCTACGGGTTCCCTGTCTGCCCAGCCCAAGAATGAACCACCCATGCTTATGAGCCTTCCACCTAACAGCTGTTTCTCCCTTTGGCACACCCCACACAGCCAGAGCCTTCCCACGACCTCAGCACGGTGCCCTGAATGGAAGGCCTTGCTGACAGCTTCTAGAGAGAAACTGACTGCTTCACTCACACTGTAGGGTCCACCTGAATGAGGTGATGGAGGCAGACACTCACCCGAGTAGAGAAGGAGGCCTGGACAGTGAAAGTCAGAGACCGCAAGAGGTGGGAGGAGACAGATGAGAGAGAGAGAGAGAGAGGAGGAAAGGGTGAGAGGCGGGAGATGGAGGGAAGGAGCAGAGATAAGAACAGGAAGATGGGAGAGGGGCCATGGGGAGGCTCAGATGGGAGATGTCACTGAGGCGGAGGTGGAAGAGAGAGGAGGCATGGGGGAGGCCCAGAGAGGGGGCCCGGCAGGCCTGGGGGCTCCGGTAGAGGGAGGGCTGAGGGAGGGGAGGAGGACAGGGCTGCCAGGGCTCATACCACGATGGCAGTTACACCAGGAGATTCCCTGCCCTAGGTCCCCCAAATCAGCTTCTCTCCTGCTCACCATCAGCTGAGTCAGGCCGGAAGGTGATCTTGATCTCAAACTTTCTGTAGGCATCCTTGATGGTGGGCAGCGGCAGGAAGGAGTGGGGGGTCTGCGTGAAGTAGGGCACCACCCTCTCTGTCGGCAGATAGCACAGTCAGAGATGATGCCCACCAGGCAGTGGGCAGGGCACTGCCCATCCCGGAGGCTATTGTCTTACCTGGTACCTGCAGATTGGCAAAGGCTTTGACCTTGCCCTGGCGGTTAGTGGCAGTGCAGACATAGGTGCCTGCGTCCTGGGGTCGAACTGAGGGCAGGAGCAGCATGTTGTTCTCCACACGGCTGTCAGGTGGCAGGTTCCCATTCAGCTGCAAACACACCCACTTTGGACCCTGGCCTTGGCCTGCACCTCCATAGAACCTGTCTCCCATGTCTGCCTCAGGCCAACCCTCAAACCCTGACCACTCTGTGCCAAGCCTGGATAAGGTCCTAGAGGCACTGAGATGGTGAAGACCTGGTCCCTGACCCTCAGGTATGCCCACTGGTCCCCTGCCAGGCATTTACCTTGCTCCAGGTGATGTCAGGAGCAGGGTAGCCAGACGCCATGCAGGGGAAGGCGGCTGCAGAACCAGCAGGCACACGGACCTCTGGGGGTGTTGAGATCTGGGGCAAAGCTACGAGGAGGAAGGAGACAGAGGCCATCAACCTGATGACAGCCACTTGTGAACCCAGCATGTCCTCACTGCACAGACGAAGAAACTGGCTGAGAGGGAAATGTGGCTGCACAGGAGGAACTGGGCAGTCAGGGTTCAGGGACAGTCCATTGGACTCTAGCCCAAGACTCTTCAACACACCTGGGCAGAAAATGGTGCAGCTCTCTGGGGATCTAAGAAGGGGTAGGTACTAGGGTGGTTTGGGGTGAAAAGGAACTGCGTTTGAAGAAAGCACAGATTTGTGCCTGCCCTGCATCCACTGTCCTTGTTTTGCTCTCTGTCATGTCTCTTGGTGTCAACGTGCTCCGCCCTCAGACAGATATACAGAACAGGTGCTCCCGTAGGTAAGGACTACATATTGTTTTCCTCTGATTCTCCTTGCTGTAGCCTTTTCCTGCAAGTTCCAGCCTGCCCCAGAGGAACACTCACTTTTTTTTTTTTTTTTTTTTTCATCCTCACCCGAGGACACTTTTCCATTTTTGTTCAGATAGAGCGAGAGGGAGAGAGAGGAAGAGAGAGAGAGAGAGAAACATCGACGTGAAGGGACACATCGAGTGGCTGCCACCCACACGACCAACCAGGGCCGGGGACAAACTGCAACCGAGGCACATGCCCTTAGCGGGAACCGAACCCAGGTCTCTCAGGACCGCAGGCCGACGCTCTAACCACTGAGCCAAACCGGCCAGGGCGGAACACTCACTTTTATCCCTGCTGCCACCACTGTTATAAAACCTGCCCCTTAAATATACAAAATTAAAAATTCCCAAGAGAGTGGAAGAGCAAAGCAGGTGTGGCGTAGAGGGCAGTGTGAGAAGCCCCTGCGACGCTCCCCAACCCTACAGAGATCCCTCCAGCCTTCACCTTGCACGAGCAGCAGCACATGGGACTGGGTGGTGCCAGCGGCGTTGGTAGCGGTGCAGCGGTATTGTCCAGCGTCAGCCATCTCCACATGGGCAATCCTAACGATGCCTCCGCTCTGCATGATGCCAGGCCGCAGGCGTCCTCCAACTTTGCTCCATGTCACTTGAGGCTTGGGGTCACCCATGGCCAGGCACTCGAACTCCACAGCGTGCCCGACCACCACGGTCTGCACAGAGGTCCGGATGTTGATGAGGACCGATGGCAGGGCTGGGCGGGGAGGAGGCAAAGGCAGCATGAGGCCAAGCTGCTGCAGGCCTGGCCTGAGAGTGCGGGGAAGGAGAGCACTGGAGCCCTAGGCATTCATTCATCTCTCCCTTCTCTTTTTCAAGCATTCACTCATCAACACACTCTAGTTTGCTGTTTTGTTTATTCCTTTACTCACTTGTGTATCCACTGTCATTATTCATTGGTTTGTCTGAGCGCCCACTCACTCCACCCATCTCCCTTCTTCCTCCTTCCCTTGCAATGTTTGTCGAGCCCCTTTATACTAGACACAGGCAAGATACAATCAGATCATTCTCTCTATTCATACACATTGAAGGGGCTTCCTGGGAAACATGGTCTCTGTACCCCTCATCTCTGTCCCCTGCTCTTGGCAGAGGCCGAACGCCAAAATCTTACCTTGGACAACCAGCTGGGCACTGGCCTGGGCCTGTCCCCATGGTCCATAGGCCTGGCAAATATATGTCCCTTGGCAGCTCTGGTCCAAGTTCTGGATTCTGTAAAGGAAAAATAAAAAGTCATCAGTGAATAAAAACAACGGATGAGAATGCTTTACAATTTTATGGGAGTTCAAAGCCACCAGAGATCAGCACATGGTGTCTCCTAGTTTCCTAGTAACCATGTGAGGAAGGTAAGCTGGCAGGCAGGGTGGGTGTCACCACACTCATTTTAGACTAACACCTTGTGGTCTAGAGCTCAAGATAAAATTGTCAAGTAGCAGAGCTGCAATTTGGATCATGTTTCTATATCTGGCCACAGAACCTGTTCTCTTTCCTCTATACAACAATACAAATGTGGGCCACCATTTACGAAAGCCTTCCACGTGCTAAGCACTGTGTTAAGTGCTTAGACAGTTTCACTCTGGTCTCATATAACCCCCTGCATGGCTGAGAACAAGGAGGTTTAGGGTGAAGTGACCTGTGCCAAGGATACTGTTTCATGTGTGGAGCCCCAGAGGGCAGGTCTCCCAACAACCCTATGGTACACCTTGGGCCGGGGTGCCCACATTGTCCTCCCCCATCCCCTCTCACCGAAGCACCCCATCCTGCACACTGTGGCCAGGAGGCAGCTGACCCCCTTCCTTGACCCAGCGGAGCTGGGTGTCTTGGTCGTTAGGCACGGCACAGTGGAACTCCACGCTGGCCCCTATGCTCTTGGTCTCCAGCTGAGGCGTGACCTGAACGGTGGGTGTGGACCCTGCTGGGACGGCAGTGGCAGGGAGAGAGCCAGAGGAGCCTGCGGGGAGATGTACGAGGCTGTGTGTGTGTGTGATCCCTGAAGCCTCCCCAGGACCCAGGGAGCCCCCATCCTAATAGCCTAGGAATGTTATCCGGTAGCTTCTCTGACCAGAGGAAAAGGACCTTCCACTGGCAGATTCATGCATCTGCTCACTCACACAGTCATTCAGTGAACATATACGAGAGCCTGTCGGACACTGGGCTCTGTGCTTCCACAAGCTCTGGTCTAACCTAAGAGGACCCATGGTCATGGTGAAGGCACCTACATGTCCTCCTGCAGGGGATGGATGGGAGGGCGGGTGCAGATACATATCATCACCCTTTACTAAGTGCCTACTGTGTGCCACAGGCTTTACATATGTGTATCTGTCTGTCAGCCAGTGTGCTAGCACTGTTCGCTCCACCTTACGGATGAAGAAACTGAGGTGTGAGATGACCTGGCCACGTCTTACCCCTGTCAAGTGACAGACCTGTGCACTGGGCCCAGGCTCACTGCACCCAGGCTCACGACCAATGGGCTCATGCTTTTCCACTTCCAGAATCTGGGGCCCAACAGCACTTGTCTGGCCTTGTGTAACTGGAGGAGACCACGGAGATTGGATTCTTTAGAGATCTACTGAAACCCTGGGCATGCCAGGGCTGGTGCTGCCATCATGTGTGCATTGTCATCGCTGTCCGGCACTGACGGAGCCCACTCTGGGTGCTGTGTGCACAAGCCTGGGCTGCTGAAATGACTAGGTCCAGGCACCCTTAGTCTGGCAGGCGAAGAAGGCAGGAGGATTCATGTAAACAGCCCTTGACAGTGTGACGTCAATGGCAAGGGAGGGGTGCAGCCGTGAGCCCGAGGTTCTGAGAACTCAGTGAGGGGCACCTGCTTCAAGCCTTGGGGAACGGGGAAGGGAGGATTTCCAGGTAGGGTAATGAAGGCAAGTCTTTGTGCCCTAAGTGGGGATCCCCAGGGGCCAGTTGCTAAGTAAGTAAAGGGCCTGGAGGAAAGCTGAACCCCTTCTGCCCAGCAGGAGCTAGGCTGCTCACCTTGAACAAATACCAGGGCGAAGGCCTCAGCCGAGCCCACCCTGTTGGTGACCTGACAGCGGTAGCGGCCCGAGTCCTCAGGGGCCACGGACTCAAAGCGCAGCATCTCGTTCCTGGCCGTCACCCTCCTAGAGAGGCTGCCACCCACGCGGCTCCACTGGAAGGTGAGCGGGGGTGTCCCGTGAGCCAGGCACTGCAGCTGCACCGTCTCCCCTGCCCTCACCGAGGCGTGCTCTGGGACTGTGGTGGCATACGGTGGACCTGGGGTGAGGGGACACAGAGGGCGGGGAAGGGGGAGAACAGAGATCGTGAGAGCAGGAGACTTCAAAGGACCAAGGAAACTGAATGGTGAGTCCCAAGGACTGGGGATGAGGGAATCAAAGGTCCCAGGAGGGAAGGTGGGCTTTAGGCTAGGGGAGGCTCTGGGGGCCTGAGGTGCATGGGACCCTCTGGATGGGGTGCTTGGGGTTCTGTCCAGGGTGTAGCCTTGGGGAGAAGGGGTTCAGACCTCATGCAGTACAGAGAGGGTGGCCCAAGGAGGGTGGATGAGTGCCTTACTCTCCACATGCAGGAGGATGGTGGCCTCAGCATGTCCTGCAGGGCTAGTGGCATTGCAGATGTACTGGCCCGAATCCTGCTGGGCTACGCGGGGGATGATCAGCGTGTCGCCTTCCACCCTGTGCTGCCAGGGCAGGGGGGAGCGCAGCTTAGACCAGTGGATGGTGGGCGTGGGGCTGCCTGTGAAGTGGAGTAGAAGATGCCAGAGGTCACCGGGCTGCTCCGGGACCAGCTGGGAGTAGGAGTGGTGAGGAAGGGACCTGGGTGATCTTGCCCTTCATGGGGGGCACTAAGTGGGCACCTCAACCATCACTAGGAGATGCAGCAGCATGACACCATCTTCAGATTTCTTTTTTTTTCTTTTTTTATCCTCACCCGAGGACATGTTTCGATATTTTGTTCAGGTAGAGTGGGAGGGAGAGAGAGAGAGAGAAACATCGACGTGAAAGCGACACATCGAGTGGTTGCCACCCACACGACCCAACCAGGGCCGGGGACAAACTGCAACCAAGGTATGTGCCCTTAGCGGGAACCGAACCCGGGTCTCTCCGGACTGCAGGCCGACGCTCTAACCGCTGAGCCAAACCGGCCAGGGCCTCTTCAGATTTCTTGCATCTAAAATTCAAGCCCCAGGGCACCGCTGCTCTGCCTGGCCTGTGTGCCAGCCCCTGTCCGCACCTGTGGCTGAGCAGCGCAGGGTGGCTGTGTGTCCAGCTTCCACAGTCAACTCAACTTCTTCAACCTGGACCTGTGGGGCTCCCGGGGTCACGTTGCCTGTGTCCACAATCACCTCCACCCGCTTTTGTGCTGTGCCCAGAGCATTCTGAGCTAGGCACACATAGGTGCCTGCATCTGATGGTTTAGCTGATGAAATCTGGAAGAGAACATGGTCATGTGGGCACTGAGAGGGGACTCGGGCATCGGCCCCTAGCTCCACCTTGGCTTTACCTCTTTCCTGTACCTTCCTTTTGTTCTTAGCTTTCCTACTGGACTGGCTGCTTGGGAGCTAATGCTCAAGACACCCCATTAGTCCATCCATCTACTCACCCATCAAATGCCCACCTATTCATCCATGTACCCACCCATCCACCCATCTACCGACCCCCCATCCCCTACACACCCACCCACTCTTTCTTCCACCTTCCTTCTTTCTTCCCACCCATCTTCCAATCTACCCACCATCCACCTATCCCATTCCTCCCTTTTCCTGTCCATCCATTCATCGCCCACCTGCCCAGCCAACATTCTTTCCTCCAAGCATCTGCTCAAGGACGAGCTCTGACTGGGCCTCAGACCCAGAGATAAAACAGCCCTGGCCTCTGGCCGCGTGAAGCCATGCCTCACCTGCAGCATCGTGTGGCTGTCCACGAACCCAAACACCTGCTGCTCCAAGTTGGTGGGGGTGCCGATCCGGGTCCAGCGAGCAGAAGAGCGGGGCTCCCCAGCACTGACACATTCCAGGGTGATGGCCTTTCCCACTTTCACCCGCACCGGGCCCTCGGGGAGCACAGACACGGTAGGGGGCCCTGCCCAGAGGAATAACACAGCTGAAGCACACACAGGGCTCTGCTGGTCCCGCTCACTGTCACGATCTCCCCACCGCACAGGTCGAAACTGAGGTTTGGAGAGGTAGAAGGCCCAAGAGGGAGGCAGCAGAGGCAGGATTTAAACCTGGAGGTTCTGAGCTTTGAATTGGGGCTGGAAAAAGGAAGGCAGAGCCCAAGGGGTTGATGTCCCTCACCATGTACATTGAGGTTCACGACACTCTGAGCCACGCCATAGGCGTTGGTGGCCACGCAGCGGTAGGCACCGTGGTTGCTGGGCCGGGCGCCCACAATGGTGATGATGGAGCCGTTGGGGCTGACGTGGACGTTGTCTGTGGGGTTGGCATTGGGGAGGGTATGGTCAGTGAGGGTGTCCTCGTGCCTTGGTGCTGCCAGTACCTCTGCCCCACGTCCCTGACCCCTTTGGCCTGGGTGTCTAGTTCACAGGGTTACAGATGGCAGGTGAGAGAGTCCTTGCAGACTCCTGGGTCCAGTCCCCTTACCACCCAGATGGAGACACTGAGGCCCCAGAGGGAAGGGAATCAGTCACCCAGGGCTACACCATGAGTTTGGCGCCACCATCAGCCTCTGCCGGCCCACAGTGGTGATCACTGAGCATTTCCCCCTGCCTCCAGCCCCCACCCCCAGCTCACCCTCCAGCTCTTCCTGACGAGTCTTCCACTCAAGGCTGACGGGGTCTGCCCCGTCGTGGATGAGGCACTTGAAGCTGGCGTCTTGGCCCTGCTGCACGGTGCTGCTGGGTGGGTCGATGGAGATGACAGGGCTACTAAGGCCTGGGGATGAGGGTGCAGAGGGCTGGCTCAGCAGGGCTGGGTCGGCTCAATCCCTCAGCCTCAGCTCCAGAGGCTCCCTCCTTCCCCTGCCTCTGGTGTCTGCCACACTCACGGTAGGAGGAGCCTGCACTGGGTGGGACAGTGACAGTGAAGGAGGCCTCCCGCTCAGGGCCTGCACCAACCACGCGGCACACGTACTCGCCGGAATCAGCCGGGGAGATGTGGCGGAGCCTTAGCTGGGAGCCGTGTGTCTGTCGGAGCGAGGATGGGCTGTCATCAGGCCAAAGCTTGGATGGGGCCAGTCCCCAGGCCTGGCAGTGTCAGTGCTCAAGAGTTCTCCCTTGGGTCTCAGGAGCTCAGGGCTCAGCTGACACAGGGGAGCTTCATTCACAGCATCCTACACATCCAACCCACCCACTTTACAGGGGACACTGGCTCAGGAAACAGTTCAGCCACAGAGCCAGGAGAAGGACTGGGTGTCTCGACTCCCAGGTTGGTGAACGCTATCCCCCAAAAGTATTTTCTCCCTTGGGACCCCCCAAGCAGGCAGGGTTTGTGTGAGGTTTGTGTGCAGAAGGCATCTGCAGGTCAAACCCTGCCTGCCTGGCCCTACCCCACCCTGGCCCCTGTACCTGATGCTGGGTGGGGAGGCTGCCCCCTCGCTTGTACCATGTGACCTGGGCGTGGGCCTGCCCAGGAACCACACAGTTCAGGTCTAGGGTCTGCCCTTCAGCCACGTGGGAGGAGGAGGCCTCAATGTAGATGGGCTGGGCCAGTCCTGGGGCTGTGGGCACAACGGGTGGGTGAGAAAGGCAAGGCTCCAGGGTGAAGCAGGGACCTAAGGTGGGGGAAGTGAATGCCACTGGTCTTCCTGGAGGTGCAGTGGCTTGAGAGTGACTGACATGGCTGAGTGCCACTGACCCATGAAGGGTCTCCATTCCCTGGAGGCCTAGATGCCATGGTGAGGCAGCACCAGACCCCAGTGGTTATGGGAGCAGCTGGAGGACCTTCATGGAGCTGAGAGCCAGAGCCCTGCTGGGAGAGGAGGGAGGAGCAAGGCCAGAAAGGGCCCCTATAAGCCTGCGCCCAGCACCGCCCACTGTTCCCATCACTCACCAGGAATGGGGCCTGGGCTGGAGGCCTCAATTGTGACCAGGACAGAAGCCTCCAGGGTGTCTGAGCCACTGTTGGTCACTTGACATGAGTACTCGCCAGAGTCAGCTGGGGAAACCTGGTTCAGCCTCAGCAGGGGGCCGTGGACCTGGCCAAGGTTGGGGTGAGAGTGAGCCAGGGGCCAGTGGCCGAGGCCTTCAGATGTCCAAGCCCTCTGGTACCTGTACCCCAGGACTGTCATGCACAATTAAGCAGGCTGCATCCTGTCATCAGACACTGACATCAGACACTGGGGAGCATGTTTATTATGACATTTTTCCTGGTAGGAACAAATCCACTCTTGAATAATTCCCACCAGGGTGCTGGAGGGCCAGGAGTGGCCCTGCTGTGCCTCCTGTCACCCAGTAATCTTGGGGACACCTTCCCTCCGCGGATGGCAGGACTGCCAGGGCAAGAGGTGGGGTGGGGTGGGACGTAGCCACAGCCTGCTTTCTCCAGCTCCCTTACCTGGTGCCGGGCGGGAAGGCTGCCCCCTCGCCTGTGCCACGTGACTTGGGCATGGGCCTGCCCAGGCACCACACATTTCAGATCCAGGGTCTGCCCTTCGGCCACGTGGGAGGAGGAGGTCTCAATTCGGATGGATGGGGCTCTGCCTGGGGCTGGGGCACAGGTAGCGGTCAGTAAGCTGGAACCCCCACCCCTGTGCCCTCAGCCCCTGCCCCGGGTGCCCAGATGTTCAGACCAGAGACCATGGGAAGGTGGCTCGGATTCCCCCTTCTCCCCTCCCCATTCTCGTGAGGCCGGGAGCAGCTAGGCTAGTCTGGGGGGTAGAGGTGCCTCATTTTCCCAGCCCTGCCCCAGACACTGTCCCACCATCTCCTCCTGTGCTCCCAGCACCGCTGGCGGCCAGAGCTCCGGCCAGGCACCTCCACACAGATCGCTGACGTTTCCTAAACTCGAGTAGTGTGTGGCTAAGAACTCAGACTCTAGGGCCAGACTGCTGGTTCAAAACCCAGCTCTGCCATTTCTTGGTTTTGTGACCTTTGGAAAGGCACTTCACCTCTCTGTATCTCAGTTTCCCATCTTTAAAATGGAGAGAACAATCATACCTACCTCTAAGCATTATTGTACCGATGAAATGAGTTAATGAGTAAATATAACACATATTTACATGTTTATTACTTGTGTTATATCATGTTTATTACTTAGAAAATCATGTACTATTTTTTAAAAATATGTTTTTATTGATTTTTTAGAGAGACAGGAAGGGAGAGAGAGAAACATTGATCGGCTGCCTCCTGCATGCCCCCTACTGGGGATCGAGCCTGCAACCCGGGCATGTGCCCTGACCAGGAATAGAACTGGGACCTCTCGGTCCATGGGACGTCGCTCAATCCACTGAGCCACACTGGCCGGGCGCAACTCATGTACTATTATCATGAGTCTGCCATAGCCATGTGCTTCCTGTGCTGTTAATTACTTTACATTTTCCTATCGGTTGATTCTCTTTAAAAACCCTTTAATACTTGGCTCCATCGTAGGCAATAATTTCCATGAAATCATTACAAGTTTGATGTATTTCTGTTTCTTCCCTAACATATAGATGTCTATCAGGGTGCCACCTAAGATCACCCTCACATGCCCCGTCAAGTTCCCTACAGGTGCACTTCCAGTCTTCAGGGAACTCAGGTAATCGTTGCAAAAGCTCAACTGTCCCCACTTTACAGATGACGAAAGTGAAACACAGAGGAGAGGACTGTAACATCTCAGAGTATGGACAGAGGAGCTGGGACCCAAGCCCACATACGCTAGACTCCAGGGTCTATGCTCTCGGGCCCTAGAGCTGAACCACTTGACCTGGCTCCGGACCTCTGCCTGCTGGTCCCCTCCCTCCCTCCGTTCTCTGGCCTCCCAGCACCACCGCAGAGACCCTCACCGGGAACAGGAACAGCGCTAGGGCCAGAGGCCTCAATGGTGACCAGGACCGAGGCCTCCAGGGAGCCAGAGCTGCTCACCACTCGGCACACGTACTCGCCAGAGTCAGCTGGGGACACCTGGTACAGCCTCAGCCGCGAGCCGTGAGCCTGCGCAGGAACAGGACAGGGAGGCAGAGGAACAGACATGGCAACTGGAAGCCTTGAAGAGCTGAGGCCAGGGAGACACAGGGTCTGCCGGGCCTCCTTCCTGGGCAGAGCTTAGGGAGCAACCCCTACCCAGGGCCTCCACAGCCAGCATCCCTCCCACTATGTCCTGCCCCCAAACTCCCATACCTGGTGGTGAGCTGGGAGGCTGCCCCCACGCTTGTGCCACGTGACCTGGGCATGGGCCTGTCCAGGGACCACACAGTTCAGATCCAGGGTCTGCCCTTCGGCCACATGTGAAGATGACGACTCAATTCTGATGGGCATGGCACCATTAGGAACTGGGGGCACAGAAACACCAAGTCAGGCTTTGACCATAGTCTGATTTGGGAACAGCTGGGTCAGTGGACACCTTAGCCACAGAAGCCCAAGGTAATAATAGTTAACAGTTATTAAGCACTTACAGTGTGCCGGGCACTGTTCTAAGCACTTTATGTGTGTTAAGTCATTTAGTCCTCACAAAATACATAAAATATTTTCGATGACAGAAATGTTCTGTCGCCCTGGCCGGTTTGGCTCAGCGGTTGGAGCGTCGGCCTGCGGTACAGAGAGAAATGTTCTGTCATCTGCACTGTCCAATACAGTGGCTACTAATTACATACGTGTGGCCACTGAGCACTCAGAATGTGAGGATATGAATTTGACATTTTATTTTATTTTTTTCTTTACTGATTTTAGAGGGAGAGGGAGAGAGAGAGAGGCATTGATGAGAGAAGACATCGACTGGCCGCCTCCTGCATGCCTCTGATGGGATTTGGCCCACAATCCGGGCATGTGCCCTGACCGGGAATCAAACCAGAGACCTCTTGGTGCATGGGTTGAGGCTCAACCAGTGAGCCACACCAGCTGGGCTGAATTTGAAATTCTGAATAATTTAATTGCCACACGAGGCTGGCAGCACCGGTCTATGAGGCTGGAATGACCAGTAACCCCATTTCACTGAGGAGGAAACTGAAACCCAGGCATCTCTCTGCAGGGCCCTTCCTCCCCAGGAAGTACTGTTACCTGTGTCTCCTGGTCCCTTGCAGGGCCTTCATCAGACTCACCGGAGGGATTGCCAGCATTGGGGGAGACTGAGACCATGATGGAAGCCTCTCGGGCATCGATGTTGTTGTTTGCCCGGCACACATACTCGCCCGAGTCGGCCACGGACATCTGGTGCAGCCGCAGGAGGGAGCCATGGGCCTGGGAGGTGGATGGGAAGGAGGGAGAGAGGAAGTCGAGGGGCAAAGGGGTTCCGGGCTGTGTCAGGCCTCCTCCCAGGCCTCCCTCATCAGACATGCTGAGGCTACCCTCTGTCTACCCAGGGCAGGAGGGAGGACTGCCCCAGGATTGCCAGCTAAAGCTTCGGGTTCTTTGTCCTTGCACCTAACCCAGGAGGTGAGGGTTCCACCCCCAGCCACCTTCCACTCTACCTGGTGTCGGGCAGGAAGGCTGCCCCCACGCTTGTACCAGGTGATGATGGCCTGGGGCTGCCCAGCGACCACGCAGTTCAGATCCAAGGTCTGCCCTTCGACCACTGTGGGGGACGAGGACTCGATCCTAATTGGTGGGGAGACACTAGGCACTGGGGACAGAGAGGTCAGATGTAGCTAGTCAGCCAACAGTGACGGCGCCAGGAACTCCCTCTGCACCCAATTCCTGGACCCCTTGTCTTATGGGCTCTCACCATGGGGGGAGCTGCTGCCCTGGATGGTGACGATCAGTGAAGTCTCCTGGGAGCTGGCACCATTACTGACGTGACACACGTATTCTCCTGAGTCCGCTGGCGTCACCTGGGGGATCCGTAGCCGGGAGCCCACGATCTTTCAGGGAGCAAGTGTCAGTGGGTGAGGGCAGCATCTCCATGTCTTGAGCACCGCTGCTGCCAGCCCTGGACTCCGGGTGTGGCCCTGCCTTGCCTGGGACCGGCCCTCACCCCAGCCTCCTCCAGAGCGCCCTCAGCGGCCTTCCTGAGGCTCTGGGCTGGGTGCACAGTGCCTCTAGCCTTCACACTGTTCTACCAAGCGCATCCTGGTGACTCCGCAGTGCCCTGCTGTGGCTCCTGTTACCCTGCTGTCAGATGGCACGTCTGCCTCACCCTCTAGCCTGTGAGCTCCCTGAGGGCGCACCCACCACTCCACTTGGAATCCTCAGTGCCAGGTGCAGGACTGGCCTGGAGCAAGTTCTCAGGGAAATGGAGTGAGCGAATGACTCGTAGAAGGTTCTGTTAAAATACAGGACTCAACTGAGGTCAGAGAGACTTATCGCCATACCCTCAACGCTGGTCCAGGGCCCACACAGCAAGAACATTCAGTGTTGAGTGACTAAGTGAGCACAGAGGAGGTGCTGAGAGCCCTTCCCGATTCCCATGAGGATTGGTGCACTCAGCTTGTGCCCTCTCTGCCCACTGGCTCAGTACCTTGTGCCGGCTGGGTAGGCTACCTCCACGCTTATACCAGGTGATGGTGTGGGGGGCTTGGCTGGCGACCAGACAGTTGAGGTCCAGGGTATGTCCATTGGCCAGGGAGGCTGAGGAGGACTCAATGCGGACAGGGTACACCACACTCTGGGCTGGGAGGGCGAGACAGGAGGCAGGGTGTGGGAGCTCCTGAGGGTTGAGGGGCCCTAGCAGACACACACCACTTTTTGTGACCTCTGCGACACTCACAGTGGGAGGGACTAAGGCGCTGCTGGATGGTGACGAGGACTGAGGCTTCCTGGGTGCCCGAGCTGCTGGCCACATGGCACACGTACTCTCCAGAGTCGGCGGGAGTCACCTGGGGCAGCCGCAGCCTCGAGCCATGCACCTGGGAGGGCAGGAGGGAGGCAGGCTCAGCGGAGCACTGGGGCTCACGGCCAGGCGCCTGCTCCCGTCCCTGGCCCCTCCCAGCCTGGCTCCCCGCTGGAGCTTGAGGGAAGGTCTTCCAGGGATAACTGCCTTTTGTGACCCTTCAGTTCCCCGTCCCAGTGTGGGGAACCGGCATTTGCTGATGTGCCACAGGGCAGGCGAAGTAGGCAGTGCGTCGGGAAGTCAAATGACTGGCCTAAAGTGACACAGCAGGCCAGAGGCAGGAGCAGCACCTGAATTCGACTATGCCTGAATTCAAAGCCTATGGTCCTTATTCTGTAGTCGCGAGGGTCCTTCAGGCCCCCTATGAGCTCCCCGCTTCCTACCTGGTGGCGGGCAGGGAGGCTGCCCCCACGCTTGTGCCATGTGACCTGGGCATGGGCCTGCCCAGAAACCAGGCAGTTCAGATCCAGGGTTTGCCCTTCTGCCACATGTGAGGAGGATGACTCAATCCGGATTGGGAGGGTAACCCCGAGCGCTGGAACAGGAGGAGGAAGGGTGGGTGAGTGAAGGTAGGGGCTTTTGCTCACGTGAGATCCTGCCATTGCTGGAGTGGAAGCCTCCCCTGGCTGGACCTCTAGCCCTCCCCTCTCCCCAGTACCACTCACCAGGCACAGAGCCTACAGGCTCAATGGTGACCAGGACAGAGGCCTCCAGGGGCACAGAACCGCCCACCACACGGCACACGTACTCGCCCGAGTCAACTGGGGACACCTGGTGCAGTCTCAGCAGTGAGCCATGGGTCTGGCAGGAATGGAGGTGAGGTCAGAGGGGGCCTCAGGAGACCCCTACACCTATAACATGCCTCTCTTTCTGACCCCTAAGGCCTGGCCATCAGCTCTGTCCTGCTTAGGGGTGGGGGAAAGGGGGTCTCATTCCAGGAGTGCTGGGGACTGGCCAAGCACTAATAGGCATTCCATCCATTCTGAGACACATTTGCTGATGTCTCTGAAGTCCCGATGCCTCTTACAGTGCATAATCTTACAATTAAATGGCAGGTTTTTTTTTTCTTACAGGCGCATAAAATAATGTTGCATCTCGCAATCAATGGCATCCCACATTCTATAAAATACAGTGATAACCATAGCTAATAGCATTACAGTAATAACATAGCTCATAGCACTTTCTATGAGCCAGAGTTCTGCGCACTTTGCATATATATCAAGTCACTTCATCCTTAAGACAACTGTGTAAGGTAAATGCTGTGATTACCACTTAACAGGCGCTGAAACCATCGCAGAGGGGTTACACAGCGTGCCCAGGGCCACAGTGGAAAGTGGTGGACGCGGCACGCACACGAGGATTGCCGGTCTGAGTCTGGGCGCTGACCATGCACTATGCACCTGTGAGATGGGGTCCCAGGCTTCCCCTGTCTGACCTCACCGCCCAGGGGCCTCTCTCCTGCCTCCTTGGCTCATCCATCCTCTAGTCCTGTACCTGGTGCCGGGCAGGGAGGCTGCCCCCGCGCTTATGCCACGTGACCTGGGCATGGGCCTGCCCAGGCACCACGCAGTTCAGATCCAGGGTCTGCCCTTCAGCAACGTGGGAGGAGGAGGACTCGATACGAATGGGCTGGGTGCCAACAGGAGCTGTGGGAGATGGTCAGTGGGTCACTCCAGTTCTGTGCAGCTGCCCCTGTCTATCCCCTCTCCGTCCCAGCCCAGCTGGGTGGCCCTACTTACGGTAGGCAAAGTTGGCCCCCTGGGTGCCGGTGACCGTAACTGTGATGGAGGCCTCCACACCATTGTTGGCCCGGCAGACGTATTCGCCTGCGTCAGCTGGTGATGCCTGGAAGATGTAGAGGCGGGAGCCGCGGACCTGCGCAGCACAGGCAGGGGTGTGAGGAGGGCTTCCCAGAGTCCGGCAGGTGCCTCCCCCTTTGCCGGCTCCTCTGAGTTGGGAACTGCCAGCCCCTCAGCTGGGAGGCCAGGATCCCTGCAAACCACTGTCCACAGCTCAGCCTGGCTGACCCCCTTCCATCTTTTTTGCTACTGTGTACCTGGTGCCGGGCAGGGAGGCTGCCACCACGCTTGTACCATGTGACCTGGGCATGGGTCTGCCCTGCCACCACACAGCTCAGATCCAGGGTTTGCCCCTCGGCCACCGTGGAGGATGACGACTCGATCCTGACAGGAGGGACGGGTCCTGGGGTTGTGGGGACAGGGGAGAGGGTAGTAGATGCTACCAGGAGAGAAAGAAGAGCCACCGCCCTGGAGGCAGCTCAGCCTTGTCTTCTGAGGCCAGGCCCATATGTCTGGGGGGCTGGGGCCTGGGCGTGATGTCCTCAGCTGGGTAACCCTGAGGGAAGGGCTGGGGCAGGGGCGAAGCCTTGCAGAGCGGAGTGAGGAAGGGAAAGAGATGAAAGGAGCTGAGGCTGGGGGAGGACAAGGCGGCGGCGCAGAGACATGAGGGGTGACGGGCCGGAGAAGAGTGCTGGGAAGACGGTGGAAGACTTGGAGAAGCGGAGTCTGGCCGCGCCGGGCTGCGGTCAGCTCCAAGGCGAGGCTCCTGCCCTGAGTCACAGTGGGAGTCCCTGGGACCTCAGCACTTGGAAGGCTCTAACCCTCCTCCAGCTTCCCCTGCCACGGGCAGTCACTCACCAGGTATGGAGCCGGCACTGGAGTCAGAGGCCTCGATGGTGACCAGGACGGAGGTCTCCAAGGGCCCAGAGCCAAGGACTACTCGGCACACGTACTCGCCGGAGTCAGCTGGGGACACCTGGTACAGCCGCAGCAGTGAGCCATGGGTCTGAAAGCAAACAGGGAGGATTGGGAGGGGGCCAGAGCAGCCCAGTCCAATCCCTCCAGCAGGCTGGCCCTGGGGGACTGCTGTACCTGGTGCCGGGCGGGGAGGCTGCCACCACGCCTGTGCCACGTGACCTGGGCATGGGCCTGCCCGGGCACTATGCAGTTCAGATCCAGTGTCTGCCCTTCAGCCACATGGGAGGACGAAGACTCGATGCGGATGGGCTGGGCATTGCCCCGAGTTGGGGCTCCTCCAGGAGCTGGGGCACAGAGAGGCTGGTCAGATGGGAAGCCTTTCTGGGCCTGGGAGCGTGTTCTTCTGGCTCAGCATGGCCAGCCAGACCCCTTTCCCTCCCCAACCTCCAACTCTATTTGCCCGCACCTCGATCGTGAGGAGCTGCTCTGGCCTGCAGGGAACCAGAGTTCTTTGTGCCCCGGCTAGGCCCAAAGATGCAGACAATAATGCCACGACTCCCTTCTACAGTGTTTGCTGTTCTCCTGACATAGGGTGGTGGTATTGTCCTCATTTCACAGAGGAGAAAACTGAGCCTCAAAAGAAAAATAACCAGTTCTGGGCTGATAAGGGACAGAGGCAGGATTTGAACCCAGGTCAGCCTGACTCCCAACTCAGTGTTCAACCCTGATTCTGCTGCTTCCTGATGAATTCTGAAAACAGTACCCTCTCATCACGGGCTCCAGGTAAGCTGGATCGACCTTATCCCACCCCCAGTCCTCTCATCTCCCCAAGCAAGGAGTGGAGGGTCAAAGCCTAGTGGGTCCTCTTGCTTTGGAGGGACCACAGGCACCTTCCCTGGAACAGTGAGATCCCAGGCCCACCTGGTTCCTCACCTGAGGTGTGGCCAGAGCCTGAGTGGGTGCTGTGGAGGACAGAAATGGTGATGGAGGCCTCCTTGGAGCCTGACCCGTTCTCCACTCGGCACACGTATTCTCCAGAATCAGCTGCGGAAACCTGGGGGAGCCGAAGCTGGGCGCCATGCACCTGTGCCGGGTGGGGACAGTGTGTGAGGATGGGAGGGGCGGAGGTCCCCACTCCCTCTGAGCCCCAGTGAGTCATCACTAGGCTCTCACTGCAGCAGAGCCACCCCTGCCAGAAGCTGCCGAGGGAGGAAAATAAGGGCTGGCCCCTAGGACCCCTGCCACGGGCTCAGGGACCCTCATACCTGGGCGTGGGGAGGCAGGTTGCCCCCTCGCTTGTACCATGTGACCTGGGTTTGGGCCAGCCCCGCCACCACACAGTTGAGGTTCAGTGTCTGCCCTTCAGTCACAGAAGGTGATGAGGACTCAATCCGGACTGGCTGGGAGCTGGCATCTGAAGCTGGGGGCAGAGGGGGAGTAAGTAGGCCCCAGGGCAGCCCTGGCCTGCCCTCCCCACTTCTTCAGCCCCCAGAGGCCCCGAACCTGGAAGGACGACCACTTGAATCCGGGCCTGTGCGGTGCCCGCGGGGCTAGTGGCCACGCAGAGGTAGAAGCCAGCATCGGCGGTCGTGATGGCTGGGATGAGCAGCGTGGCAATGTCTGTGTGCTCAGACCGGGCCTGTCACACAGGCGAAGGGTCAGCCACCTGAGAGGCCGAGGCAGCCTGGCAAGGGCTAGCCCTCAAGGATGGGCAGAGGGGGAGAAAGGCAGAGGCACACACAGAACCAACATCAGGGCCCAGTTGGGCACCAAGGAGGTCAGAGCCAGGCTGCCCTCTTGGAAGCAAAGGGAACCAGAAGAGGTGGAGATGGGGTAGGAAGCCCGTGGGAGGGGCAGATGGCAAGCACTGGGACTCTGCTGAGCCTGTGGGCCTGGCCTGGATGGATCCCCTCACCTGTGGGGGGAGGCTGCCCCCTTCCTTCCTCCAGGTGATGGTGGCACTGGGCACACCTGCAGCCCGGCAGTACAGCCTGACAGTGCGGCCTTCATGCACTTGGGTCCTCTCTGGACTCACCTGGACCCTGGGCCCACTGCCCCCTGCAGACAGAGCCCTGTGAGAATCCCTCTTTGGGCTGCCCGTGTGCCCCCAGCGCCACCTGCAGCCCTGTCCTCTCACCGTGCACATGGAGCATGGCCCTGGCCACATGCTGCCCGGCGCTGCTGTGGGCACGGCACAGGTACTGGGCTTGGTCCGAGGGCTCGACGGCTGGCAGGCGCAGAATACCGCCATGGATTTGTGCCTTCTGAGGAAGCTGGCCACCAGGGCCCCCTGACGTGGAGAAGTGGGGTCAGCACCTGCTGGGACGGGCATTGCTGCCCTCCTCCCCACAAACTAAAGTCCTGCCCTTAGCCTCCCACACCCAGGACAGCCACACCCCGAATGTCATTCCTGCCACGGCCTCACCTGTCCAATCAAGGATGGGCGTTGGGTGCCCTGTGGCGCTGCAGCGGAACTCGGCCAGCTGCCCGGGCTGCACTGTGAGCTGTGGTGGGTGGATAGAGACCACGGGGGCGGATGGGGTGCCTGAGGCTGATGGGAGGAGAAAGAACATGTGGTTGCGGGGGGGAGTGCCTTCTGACCCGTGGCAACAGCCTGCAGGCTGCTCTCTTCGCTTCCACTCCAGCCCCTCATGGCCATTTGTCCATGGAGCAGTCAGAGGGAGCTTTTGAAATGTCAACGGGATCTTGTTACTTCCCCATTTAAGGCCTATCTGTGGCTCCGTACTGCTTTTAGAATAAAATCCCAACTCCCTGCTGCGATCCTAAGTACTACATGTACTCACCCCTGCCCACATCTTCAAATGTATTATCCCCTCCCTTCCACAGCTGCAGCCATACTGGCCTTGCCGTTCCTCAAACATATCAACACTCTCCTGCTTCAGGGCCTTTGCACATGCTGCTTCCTCTGCCAAGAACACTCTGCCAGCTCTTCAAGGGGCTGAACACCTTCCCTTCCTTCAGATCTCAGCTCAGATGTCACCTCCTCAGAGACCCTCCCTGACCACCCCATGTAGAGCAGCTCACCCCTCTCCCACCCCATTTCTCACTTTCCATCACCATTTATTGCTATCCCAGTGTGGATCACTGTGCGTAACCATGCTGTATGTTCATTTGTTCCCATGTTTTTCTACTAGAACATGTAGGTAGTGTTCTAGTAGATAACTAGAAGGCAGAGCTCCTGTTTGACCTTCTTTGTCCTGTTTCTTCAGGGTCTAGGCCAGGACCCGGCATACCGGGATGCTCAGAAACACAGTTGAACACCAGTCCTGGTGGACATGGGGAAGGCTCGGGTGGGTCAGGCATGGACATGAAGTGTACCTTGCACGTGCAGCGTGGCTGTGCCCTGGTCCATGGCAAACATGTTGGAGCCAGTGCACACATAGGTGCCTGCGTCACTTGGCTGGACATTGCGAATGGTCAGGATGCCGTTGAAATCCATGGCTCGGGCTGGCAGTTTCCCATTGTGCAGGCGGGTCCACACCAGGGTGTACGCTGGAGACTGCAGGGGGGCAAGCAGATGGCATGGGGGTTAGGGATGGTGCTCGGAGACCCCAGAAGACAGAGTCCACCAGGTGACCGGTCCATGCTTTGCCCACCTTGCTCTTGGCTGTGCAGATGAAGGTGACATCGGCTCCGGGGCGCACACTCTGGCTCCGCTGCTCCTCCACCATCACTGTGATGGGCTTACTTGGAGCCTCTGCAGGGACAGGGCTCAGTGAGGGATGTGCTGATCAGGCCCGTGCTGTGGCCAGTCTCTCTCTCTCCATCATCTTGTCTGTGTGTCACTTGCTTCCCAGTCCAGCTTCGATTCCATTCCCCTCCCTAGCACTCCCCCGCTTCATCCAGCCAAACCCTGTTATCCGTCGTTTTTCTGCTGGGACTGAGCAGCCAGCGGGTGTGATGGGAGAATCATCACACCATGAGCCCGCTGGCTCCAATGCGTGACCACAGACCACAAATAAGCTCTGAACACTTCACACTTCACTCCAACTGGGTTTCCCTGTCTGGCTCAAGTTTCCATCCTCCCCCAAACCATTTCACACCTCCTCCCATCCTCTCCACCCTCCCTAATTCCCCTTCCACTTTCATAGCTAATGGCTTCCATGCACACTTGCTGAGAACATTGAAACTATTAGATAGGAATTTTCCCATCTTCCCAAATCTACCCACCTCTCTCCTTCCTGGTCCCTGAAAAACGAGACCCCACCCCCAACCCCCGCACTTTCTGAGTGCTGGAGCCCCTCCTAAGGACCTCCTTCCTCTGCTGTGCCTGTTCTTGTTACATCAGTCTCTCCTCCCCTCCCCACTGGCTCATTCCTCCCCATAGACAAATGTGTTCTAGAACTTCCCATCTCTGAAAAGGCGCCCATGACCCCATACTACTGCTCCATTTCTTGGTCTCCCTTCAGAGCCAAGTCTCTTGAAAGAGTTGTCTACACTTGCTGCTTTCCCATCCGTTCTCTGCCTCACTCTAATCTGGTTTCTACCCCTTCTCTCCACTGAAAATAGCCCTTTTCAAAGCAGGACCTGCAAGGGTTATTTCTTGGCCACATCTCAGTTCCTCAGGGCAGATGGTGAGGCCGAGCGCCCCCTCCTGGAAGCCTTCTCCCCTCTAAGCTTCCAACACACAACTCCCTGACTCCTCCTGGCTCACTGGCCCCACGTGCTCAATCTCTTGCTGTAAAAGACTCTTCAACATGACATGTTGAAGTTGGAGCTCCATGTGGCTCTGCCCTGGCCCTGTCCTCAAGCCATCCTCTCCCTGGGTAATTTTACCCTGCCCCACAGCTTTTTAAAATTTATTTTAATTTAATTTTTAAAATCCTAACCCGAGGATATTTTTCCATTTACCTTCAGGCAGAGTGGGAGGGAAGGAGGAAGCGGGGGGGGGGGGGGGGCCTCGATGTGAGAGAGACACATAGATTGGCTGCCTCCCACACGACCCTGACTGGGGCCCAAACCACAACCGAGGACCAAAATTGAACCCGCGACTGGTCCACGGGCCAGCGCTCTAACCACTGAGCAAAACTGGCCAGGGTTGCCCCATGGCTTTATTTATTGTTTTTATTTAAAAATTTTTTTTTCTTTATTGATTTTATTTTTTTAGAAAGAGAGGAAGGGAGAAGGAGAGAGAGATGGAAACATCAATGAGAGAGAGCATCGATTGGCTGCCTCCTGCATGCCCCACACTGGGGATCGGGCCCACAACCTGGGCCAGTGCCCTGACCAGGAATTGAACCAACTACCTCTTAGTGCACGAGGTGACGCTCAACGGCTGAGCCACATCGGCCAGGCAAGCCCCATGGCTTTAAACACAACATATGCCAATAGCCCCCAAATTAAATTCTCTGGCTAGGGCCTCCTTCCTGAGTTGCAGACTCACATGTCCAATGTCTGCCTGATGTACCTACTTAGACCCCCCCGCCCCCCACATCTCAAACTTGGGATTCTCTCTGACCTGTCTATAGCAGGTGCTGCTGTTGCCCTGCCCAGTCCCCTCGCCCTGTCCCCTCAGTGCCATCCAGGCTGACTCCTGCCAACTGCTGCATTTCTTTGCACAAAGGCTTTCTCCAGAGACCACTGTGCATGCCCATGAGGCGGGGCAGAATGCGAGGGAATTGATGCTCCCAATTGATGACTGACAGGAGCTGGTATGTACATACCCCAGTTCCCTGATCTTGGGGTAGGGTGACTTAAAGGTGCATGTTTTACTCTGGAATTTCCCAGAGTTCCCTTGGCTGCATTAAACAACTGCTCACGGTGGTAACGTGCTCAATAGCACATCTTTATGGGTTGCCTTTTCTTCCTGTCTTACTTCATTCCCGAATAAACTACTTACACACAAATCCTTGCCTCAGACTCTGCTTTTGGGGACCCCAAATGAAGACACCCTCCTACTGAGCCTCTCTCATCTCAATAAATGGCACCCCAGTTTCCCAGCTGCTCGAAACCAGATGCTGGGTGTCATCCTAGACGTTTCTCTCTCCCCATGACTGTAAGTCCTGCCACCTCTGCTCTAAGACCAGCCTTGACTCCGTCACCTCTCTCCATCTCCCTGGCCAGTGGCCTCATCCAGGCTGCCACCATCTCCTCTGGCAGTGAATGCACCAGCTGCCTGAGGCTGCAGCATGCAGCCTGGCCCAGGGCAGGCAGTCTTGGAGACGAGGGAAGTAGGGACTCACCAGTGACCAGCAGTTCTGCCCAGCTGGTGTTGGCATGATGGAGATTACGACAGGTGCAAATGTAGATTCCAGCATCTGAGGGCTGGACGCTGGGGAAGTGGAGCTCAGAGCCTGGTGGAAAACAGATGAGAGCTCGTCAGTGCAGATGCACCCCTGCTTCTACCACCCAATCCTGTGTAAGGACAGGACCCCAGCAGGACAGGGACAAGCCTGTGCCTCCCCTCCCGCTGGGTGGCTCATGGGGTTGGGGCCATGGGTACCTTGATGTCGCTGCTGGGTGCTACTAGGCAAGGGCCGCCCATCCTCACGAGACCAGTAGAAGTAGTGGGGTGGGCTTCCACTGACCTGGCACCGCAGGGAGTGGGGGCCACCTTGGGGTACTATGCTCCGAGTTGGTTGCACCTGGACCACCAGCGGGGCTTGGTCTGCTGGTGGGGGTAAGAGAACAGGAGAGTTCATTCAGGTAGGAAGCCCTAGCTTGTGGCACTATCTCAGTATCTCTACCCTTTCAAAGACTGGCCTGCCCCACTCCCGGCCCTGTCCCCCAGACTTAGTACCTTCCAAGCTCCCTAGGCTCTCTGACTTGCCCATCACCCCGACTTGTGGCCATGGTCCCACTTACCCTGTGGCAGGCATCGGCCCCCCCGCACACTGGGGTTCCCCACGTAACCTGGGGCGCACCTGTAGGGGAGGAACAAGGACCAGCTCTGTCAGCTCCCAGGGCACCTAGTGCCTCATGATGGACTTGGGGAGCCAGAAGTTCGGCAGGCTGCCCAGTGTGGGGTGGGAAGGCTCAGTGCTCTGGTAGGAGTTCAGACACCAAAGAGTCCCCAACACAGGGCCTTGGTGAGCTGAGAAAGGGGAGTGCAAAGGAATATCAGCGGGTTGGGTATGGGGCTGGTAAAGCGTTAATCTTCAGGAAAACTAGTATGCTAGGTTATGGAAACACAACCGTGACCAGGAAGTCCCTGCTCTTTATTTATTTATTTTATTCCTCACCCGAGGATATTTTTCCATTTATCGTCATGTAGAGTGGGAGGGAGGGGAAGAGAGAGACAGACAGACAGAAACATCCAACTGGTTGCCTCCTGCACTACCCGACCAGGGCTGGGGACGAATTGCAACTGAGGTATGTGCCCTTGACCAAATCGAACCCACGACTAATTGGTCCACGGGCCAACGCTCTACCCGCTGAGCCAAACCGGCCAGGACCCTGCTCTTTATTTTAAAAAAAACTTTTAATTCTCACCCGAGGATACTTTTCCATTGATTTTTTCCAGATAGAATTGGAGCAAGGGAGAAAGAACATTGATGTGAGAAAGACACATTGATTGGTTGCCTCCTGCATGACCCTGACCAGAGCGGGGATCGAACCCTCAACCAACGTACATATATGCTCTTGAGCAGGGAATTGAACCTGCGACTCTTTGGTCCGTGGACCAATGCTCTAACAGGGGTGGGAAACGTCCAGCCTGCAGGCCATATAAGGCCCTCAAAATCAATACCAGCTAACATCACACGCCTCGCCAAATTAGCCTGACCAAATATAGCAGGTTCATTTTTAAGTTGACAATTTTTTATGGCCCAAAACTGTTATAAATATCCAAATGGCCCTAGCCAGAAAAAAGGTTCCCCACCCTTGCAACTGCTGAGCCAAATTGGCCAAGGCGGAAGTCCCTGCTCTTAAGGAACTTACTTGTTGGGAAACCAACATGAAAAGGATGTAAAATGAGGGTGTGGCACACGTATTGGGGGCTGTGAGTGCACAGATCCATCCCTAAGAATTAGGAGGCTTCTCAGAGAACGGGGCTTCTGAGCTGTTATATTCCCTGGGAGCAGGCTGTACTCTTTGGAGAACTTATCACTGTTTGTAATGATATATTTGTATGATCGCTTTTTTTTCTGCCGTCTTGGCTCCCATTACAGGTGGCAGACTCCATAGGGCTGGGACAGAATCTGTTTTGTTCACCACTGAATCTCCAATACCTGCACATACTACATGGCACACGGCAGATGCTCAATAAAAATGTGCTGAATGAATGAATGAAGCTGAGCCTTGAAGGCTAAACAGGAGTCAGCCAGGAGGGGGAAGTTTTAGGGTAAAGAATGTTCCAGGTAAAGGAAATAGTTCATGCAAAGACCTGAACATAAGTAGTCAAGAAGTTAAGCCCAACTAGAGCAGAGATAGGTGTTGGAAGTGGGATGAGACTGAAGAATGAAAGGCTACTTAAGGAGCCTGGGTTTGTCCCAAGGGAATCAAGGGTGGGGACCATGATCCTGGTGGAGAACTTTCTGAGCAACACCATCTAGGGCTCTCGTCTAGTTCACTATATACTCCCCTCCTTCATCCTTCCCATTTACAAACTTACTGCTCACAGTACTGGCCAGTGTAGCCATGTTCACAGGCCGTACAGCGGTACCCACCAGCTGCCAGGCTCTCACAGGTGCGGGAGAACCTGGGACAGAGAAGACAAAGGTCAGGCCATGGACACCCACACCCCACCTCTGCTCCCCTCATTCTGCCCTGAAAGCCAGTGCAGTGCCCTCCACTCCTCAGTGGGGGTTCTTCCTTGGGCCTTGAGCAAGGGCACCCACATGTTCTCCGAGTTGGTCAGTGGGCAGGCACAGGGCTGGCAGTCCTCAGGTGTTCCGGCCGTGGCATCTCCATAGTAGCCAGGTGCACACAGCTCACAGAACTCCCCAGCGGCATTGTGCTGGCATTGCTGTGAGGTACAAGGATACCTGTCATTCACCCTTTGGCAGAATTTACCAAAAGCCTTACAATGTGGGAATCCTTTGATCTGGAAATTCCATGTTTGTGAACTTATCTTAAAGAATGTTCAGCTCAGTGGTGTTTATAAGAGTAAAATGCTGGAAATAAACCTATCCATGAATAGGGAACTGGATAAATAACAAACAACACCCATCCAAATACCTATCAAACAGGATGATGCTGTTGCATTTCATACATTTTTCTACTTAAACACCTGTCATATCATAGGATGGTAAAGGTATACACCTGGGTATGTGGTGGAAGTTTTAAAAATAGATGCTTTATTATAAAAACGTGTGGGTATTATACTCTTCTCCGAAGAGATCTTATAAATCTCTGTGTTTTATAAATATAGCATGTTCCTTGCTCTGTCAACCACTCAACCCTGACGACATACCCCAGAGGGCTATACACACCCCACTCTGAAAAGTTTAGGTACACAAAAGCACTTGGGAAGATGTTCATGAACTTGGAAGTGAAAGAAATCGATCACTGAACATTTATACATACACTAGCGTTACATAAATGTTACTAATGTATGTAGAAACGTTTGCCCAGAAAAAGAGCTCCACACGAATGCTGACAGTGATTACCTCCAGGAGGTAGGATTACAGGGGATTTTTACTTTCTTCTTGGGTTATTTCCGTACTCTGACTCTTCTACAGGGAACGTGAGTCACTTGGGTGATAAAAAAATCATAGGAACTAGAGTTTTCTTTATAAAGATGGATGTCATCCCATAGTTGTGGTCACCCCACTACGCCTGTAGCCCCGCGGTGACCAGGCCTGCTGGTCTAGGCGCTTTGTTCCACAGGCCGTGCCTCATGACCTTGCCCCTCGACCTAGGCCCACATTACCAAGCCCAGCCCCTCCCTATCCCACAGCCAGCCCTGGTACCCCCCCTCAGCCCCAGCCAGGCTGACTCTGTCCTGGCCCCGTTTGCATCTTACCGTACAGGCCCCGGTCTCTGGGTGGCACAGGTCCGAGTGGCCATTGCATTCACACGGCTCACAGTGACCGAGGTAGAGCCCACTCCCAGTGCGTGTGTAGCCCAGGGCGCAGTCCTAGCAGAAAGAGAGTGAGGGCTGGTCTCCATCTCCTGTGTGGTCCCATCCAGAGCCAGGAGATCCAGAACCCACACCCTCCATTCCTTCCTACCATCTAGACTCACATTGGCGCTTGGAGGGAAAATCCCAGGCCCAGCCCTCCACCCTGCATCCTCTCTCAGCAGCCCTCCTCCACATCTCCATCTTCACTTGAACACCCCAAAGCTGGGCTACTGTTCAACTCCATCTGCATCCCCAGGACTTTGTTCCTGAAAACTCTTCTGTCAGGGTCTTTATTGAAAAACTTAACCCCTAGGTGGAAAAAGAGGGTTCAGGGGACCTAGATTTGAAATGAGCCCTTGAAGAGCTTTACAACGATTTGCACATTCACTGAATAGAGTGAGAGGGTGCACACAGAGCCCAGATGTTCTGGCCCCTTCTGAGTGAGTGATCATGGGTTCTGGAAACAACACATTTCTGTTCGCCACCCCTTCTTAGAGATCCCTCCAGGCCCCACTCTCTCCCTGACCATTTCGAGGGCATGTTTATAAATCTGTTTTGCTTCACTGCAGAAAATGTGCACCAAGGATTCTTCTTTCCCCAGGGGTTCTCCTTCAAAATGTGTTCAATTTGATCATATCAAGGAGCCTGCAGTTCACATATTTGGATCTGAAAGTTCTTGTGGCCACAGCAAAAGTGCACAGATGTACAACTGCGGAGACGTGGGCTTCCCGCGGTGGGGTTCCCGAGTGGGGATTTGTTCCCATGTGGACCTCCCAGTCGCCCATCTGACATTGCAGCCCTGCCACTTCTCCTGTGATTCCCCTTCCCCAGCTCCACATTCACTCATCAGATGCCAGCTGGTTGCCTGCTGCGCCTGAGAACCGGGTGGTCAGCAGGCAGCGCAGGCCCCGCCCTCCTGGAGCTCAGCCTCCAGTCAAGCCTGCAGGTGCTCTTGGATTCTCTCCAACTGCAGCCCTCTGTTCCACCCCCACTGCCCTTCCCTCCCGGCGGGACTCCCTGTCTTTCTGCTGCCTCATCCATCTCATTCACTATGGGCAGAGGAATTTTCCTGGGGCCCACCTCCCACTGATAGCCTTGTTCCAGGCCTAAGAAAGTTCCCCCATCCCCACTCCGGCTTTTCAGGGGTGACCCTTCTGCATCACAGGCTATTTCCCTGCACATTCCTCCATCTGAGCTGCTTATTCTGCCTTCTCGCCTGGAATCCTATCCCACTCCACGCTGTTCCTTCCTCTGGGCCACTTCCATGCTTTGCTTTGGGCTACGGCACTGTGAGCCTGGGCATGGCCTCCCTGACTGGTGGTACCCTGAGAGCACATGCTGGGTCCTAACCTCCAGAGAGGGGAGCTGTGTGCCCTTGGTAAGCCATTTGCCCTTCAGTGCCTCTATTTTTAAAAAAACCTGTTAAAAGGGGGTAATTACACATTTCTGAGGGCTGTTGGGAATAATACATGAGATATTGCAGAGTATGTGAAAGTTATGACTCATCACGGGCCATAGAAATGCCAGTTGACCAGCTTGCTGATCCAGCTGCGCCAGGGCAGGTGTCTGGGTGGCCACACTCACCTGGCAGGACAAGCCGACATAGCCTGGGGGGCAGCGGCATTCCTCCACCTCCAGGGCTGGGGAGCCCTGTGAGGGCCCTGGCTGGGCGACCTCCAGGCTGACCTCACTGATGCTGGCTGCCAGTGGCACCGAGGAGAATGTGGCCCGGACCAGGAGCTCGTCCAGGTCAGCCAGCGCCATCAGGAGGTGCTCGCGTGTGGATGGCTGCCCGTCAGGCCGGCGCCAGAATTCCTGGGTGGGTGGACACATGTGTGAGTGCGGGGTGTTGGGCTGTGTGCTACTTCTGCAGCCCCCCAGCCCCCAATTCCTGTCTTCCAGGCACTGGTGGAGGGAGGACTGAGGTGAGGATGGGGGAGTGAGAAGCAGAGTAGCAGAGTAGCCAGGCTCCAAAGCAAGGGTGGGGGTTGGGGAGGGCTGGACACAGGGTGGCCGATTGCCCCTTACCTCTCGGAAAACAATCTCATAGCGCTTCCTCTCGGAGCCCTGCAGTGCTGGCTGGGAGGCTACCAGCATGATGTTGTTGCCCTAGGGGAGGCACCAGTAGGATTTGGAGGGGGAGTGAGGGGCTCTTGGGAACGGAGGAATCCTCCACCAGGTTCCAGCCTCTCTAGAATACCAGCTCCCATCCCTCCAATCTCCCAGGCTCATGTGCCCAAAAGAATCTGGTACATGCCCACTGCCCACTTCTCCCAGCAGCTGGGCCTCTACCTGGGTTGTACCCAACCAGATAATGATGTGGGAACACAGGCCTAATCCCCCTAGCCCATGCCAGGCCAGCTGAGTGTTGGACTGAAAGGACCAAAGAAACAATCAATGTCCCCTGGCTTCCCCTTCTGCCCGCTTGGCATGGAATCCACACGCTCACCGTGATCTGGACGTCAGGGTCGGAGAGTGAGCTGCCCTGTGCCCCGGCTGTGTAGGACAGGGCGTATCGCAGCTTCCCGCCATAGGCTGCCACCTGCAAAGAGGCAAGCCCTGCAGTCACAGCCTGACTCTGCCCTCCTCTGGGGCACGATATACTAAACCCCTCAAGGCACTTTTGCACCTGTGCTGCCTCCTCCCCCACCCCACGCCACCAGAGGCCAGTGTGCGTGTCCTGTGCTTGCTCAGGAGACAGGACATCACTCAGTTCCATCACAGCCTCAGAGCTGGTGGCAATGATCCTGAGCAGCATCTTTTCTGGTTATTGGGGGTTCCCCATTTCCAAGTGCCTGACAATCACAGTAAAGATGCTCCAAGTCCCTTTCCATTAGAAGGAATTGACATGGGAGGTTACAGAAGGTTCAGAGTTCTTAGTCATGGGGGTGGGGCTGAGGGTGGCCCCTCAGAGGTCTTGTCTCTTGGGCAGGTGGGTTTTGTTTGCCCAGAAACTATGTCCCCGATTTTTGCAAACTGCAGCCTTGGTTTCCTTGAAAAGAAACAATGCCCTACACGCAGGGCATGTAGTTTGAGTGGAGATGTGGGCCAGGCCTGGCCAATCTGCACATTCCACCACTCCCCCTCTCCGTTCTCTTGGTGGTGGACACATGAACCTGGCACGGATCCTCTTTTACTGGAACAGAGAAACTCCCTTTACCAATTACAATGAAAGCCAGAGAAGGATGCCAACTGAGATAAAGTCCTAATGAACCCTGGATCGAGCCATGCCTGACACCAGATATCCTTGGATGTTGTAGTTACATGAGCCAATAGATTCTTTTCTTTGTTGCAGACAAGCGAGCTGGACTTCGGTTTTCTATGGCTCACAATGAAACAGCCCTTATTCTGCAGCAGAGGGCTTCCGCGTGGCAGCCAGGGCCTCAGCTCTGCCCCACAAGCCCTTTCTTTCTTTCCTCTGCCACCAGGGCAGATGTTCAAACCAATACCACAGTGCATCAGGCCTAGCCCATTTGTTCATTTGTTCATTCCGTTGTGAGCCTTTATTAAATGCCTATTGACTACATGCCAGGTCCTGGGCTACCCGGGCCCCGGGGATGTTCTCCACAAACTCAAAAGAAAGTAAGAAGATCAGGGCCATAACCAGATAACCATGAAACAACTGATTTTCTGTTTGCTTTGGATGCCAGCAAATGCATTGCCATGTTCAGGACCAAGCTGCAGGGTAGCTAAGGGAGCAGACTCTGCAGTCTGACAGGGTTCAAATCTAGCTCTACTGGTTGGACAGCCTTGGACAAGTCACTTAACCTCTCTGAGTCTTAGGTTCCTCATGTGGAAATGGGAGTAAAAATAATACCTGCCCGGAGGCCAGCATGAGGACTAATAACACCAGCCATGTAAAATACTGCACACAGCACAGCACCAGCCGCACAGCCCAGTGCTGCCAAATCCCATCACAGCCAGCCCCGCCCTTGCTCATTTCCCCCAGGCCAGACTTTCTTGTCTGCTTCTCCACATGTTATTTTATTGCAAATTATGTGTATTCTTTAGAAGACTCAATTATTCTTGGAACAAGATGGAGGTGATGTCAGGATCAACACTAACATTAATAATAGTGCTGCTGCTGGTGATAACAGGCCTGATAATCAGACGAACTGAGCTCTGAGAGGCCTGGGTCTTCTGCTCAGACATAAGACAGCGCACAGTAATGAATGCTTCTTGAATGAATGAATGCAGTGCCACGAGCTAGTTCAGTGATCTGGATACAGGGTACAGGGAACCAAAGAAGGGGTATCTACTTCCTTAGGCTCTCTGGAAGGTAAGACAGCCCCTCCGCCAGGGGCCTGTGGCAGCTGAAGAACAATCGCTGAGCTGGATTTAATCTCAGCCCTACTTTGACCTGAATGTGGGACCTCAGACAAGTTCCTCCCCCTCTCTGGGCCTCAGTCTACCCATTTGACCATGAAAGGCTTTGACAAAGGGCCCTCTGATATTTCAGGATTTGATGACACCCTGTAATCTCCCAACTCCTTGTTACCTTGTTCCCCAGGTAGGCTCGGGGCAGCTGCCAATAATAGAGGCTTTCAGGAAGCAGAGAGAAGCCTTCATAGGAGAGCGAGAACTAGGACAGAAGGACAGGCGTGAGAGCTGCAGGAGCAGGGGGGGGCCGTGAGGGCCAGGGAACAGAGCCCCCACCCCACAGCCAGGTCCCGGCCCTGCTCTTGGACAACTTGCTCCCCCTGTCTGGACCCGGACACCCCGACTGCTGTCACTGGGCGTGGTTTGGGTCCATGTCACCTCACATGTCATGTGTGCGTCTTGTGGACCCCAAGGTGACTGATGTGACACACCAGAAAACATTGTCAAATTTTTTTTTTTTTTTTTTAATCCTCATCCGAGGACATTTTTCCATTTTTTGCACAGACAGAGTGGGAGGGAGAGAGAGGAAGAGAGAGAGAGGGAAACATTGATGTGAAGGGACACATCGAGTGGCTGCCACCCGCACGACCAACCAGGGCCGGGGACAAACTGCAACCGAGGTACATGCCCTTAGCGGGAACCGAACCCGGGTCTCTCCAGACCGCAGGCGGACGCTCTAACCGCTGAGCCAAACCGGCCAGGGCAACATTGTCAAATTTAATGGTGGTCTTAATGTACACTTAAAAACAATGATGGATTTAAAGAAAAATCTAAACTAAATAATAGTCCAGATAGTGTACAGAAAGGGCAGAATTTGTAAAGCTGGTTCAGAAACAACTGACGTCTAGAAAACATGGTGTGTGTGGGTCCCTTGAAGGGTGCCGTGGCACATACCTGAGAGCCCATGGAAGAAGACAGAGAAGCTGAGGAGGAGGAAGAGGAGGGACCTGCTCGTAGAGCAGCTGCAGGCTTGGGATGGGGCAAGAACCCTGGGGGAGGGGGATGGGGGTGAGCAGCAAAACTGGAAAGGAGCTGCCAGATCTCGGCATCCATCCTTCTCTGGGCCTCATCCACCTGGGGGACCAGGAGAGGAAGGACAGCAGAAAGGAGCAGAGAGGGACAGGAAGGCTGCTGTGAGGCTTTGCCTCCCCCAGGCTGTGCCAGGCCCAGCCAGCAGTCCGCTTCTGTTCTCTCCAATCACAAGTGCTCATGCCTAACACTCTGGCCCTTGTGCCCACCACCCTCCTGCTCCTCGTGAGCCTAATGGGTTATGCAGGGCAGGCCCAGGTGACTGTGGGTCCTGGCTAGGGAGAGAAGCCCATACTGAGGGTGCCCCTGGCAAGGAGGAGCAGACCCAGAGGCATCTATGTGAAGGAGGTGCTCCTTGGGCCTCACTCTCCGTGCATACCCATGGTGCCAGACCAAGACATTCATGGCTCTGGAATGTTTCCCAAGGGCAACACTCGACTGGACTGGGCATCAGGCTGGGTCCCGGCCTGGCATGGGAAAATGGCCCAGAAAGGCCAGGGCCTTGGCTCAAGGCTCCTGCTTGGACTACGTTCTCTGGCCTCCTTCCTGGGGCCCCTGACACAGCCTGTTCTGGCCAGCCCCTGGGTTACCTGTGACAGCTGCTGTGCCTGGCCCCTGCCCTCTGGGGGTCCTGGGATCCTCCCAGTAGTCACAGCTACCCGCAACTGCTCCTCTGAGAGGGACGTGCGGTTCTGATGGGTGGAGGGCATAGGCCAGCTCAGATCTCCCAGGGCCCCAGAGCTGGAGCCCTGGGGAGTGTCCTCTCCCATGGATATGATGGCCAGAGAGGCTCACATCGACGGGAGAAAGACGCATGCTCCCCTCTCCAGGCGGGCACACGGGGGTTAACTCCAGGCATTCGCAAACAGAGGGAGGCTACCCGGGAGGTAGTGCTGGGATAATCTGGGGGCCAGGTACAGTCATGTGGTTTTTAGCATTGAGTTAGTTTCCCTGCCACCTTAGCCACCACTCTGGCCACAGACAGTTGGTACTAGAACCATACCACATGGCAGATGAGGCACACACCCCCCCCTGACTAATTCCCAGCATCTTAGGGGCTTAGGCACAGCAGTGACCTGACCGTGGAGCCACCGGGCCCTACCTGGGTTCATGCAGACCCATACTGCCATAGACACTAGGCATCTCCCCATGCGGGGCTGAGGGTATCCAAGGACACACCATGCCCACGTCACATCAACTTCACGATACTCCGATCACGGGCCTACCTGGTGAGCTCGGCGCATCCGCGCAAAATATGCCTCCCTCTGTGGGGCACAGGGAAATGCCAGGAGAGTGAGAGAGAGGTTTGGGAACGGCAGGACAGGGCAGTAGGGAGGCAGGCAGGGAAGCTGGGAGAGGAGGAACCCGAGAAGGGACTAGAGGGTAGCCAACCCTGGGAGGAGGCTGGGATACATGGGTCTGTCCAAGAACAAGGACAGGGCAGCCTCAGGACTCCCCCTCCTAAGTGTCCCTGAGCTCCCTGGGGCCCTTGGTGAGGGGACACATCTGCTTAAACACTGGCCTCAGCCAGCAGGGGACTCCTGGACCAAGACCCCCTTTCCCTAGGTGCTACCAGATGGCTTTGACTACTCGAGGAACACACTTGGGCAGGCTGCACTCCACAATACCACCACCGCCTCTTTGGAGTAGCAAAGACAGGCTCATTTATGACTAGTGTAGTTAAGGGGACCTCTTACCTGGGTTTGAATCCCAGCACTGTCACCTTCTGGCTGTGGGAGCTCAGGCAAGTTACCTACCCTCTCTGACCTTAGTTTCCTCACTGATGAAATAGGGCAGTACTAGCTCATACAGCTGTGATTTGTGATATGTCAGTGAGTGCTTAAAACACTGCTGAGCACAGAGTAAGAGCTCAATAAATATGACCTAGAACAAGAATCATTGCGATGCCCAACACCAAGCACAGAACCAACAGCACAGGTGACTTCTGAGGGAGCAAATGAATGAAACTGAATCCAGGGCATTTGTCCTTGTGTTTCGAGGGCCTTGTCCCAGACCTAACTGCATGAAAGCTAATAATCATTAACAGGTGAGCACTTACTATGTGCCAGGCATGATCTCCAATCCTCCCAGCCTCCTGAGCTGAGGTTTATTAAAAGGCAGCCGGTCAGTAAGTGGTAAGGTTTAGACTGAGGCCTATCTGACCCCAAAGGCTGTGTGCTTAACCACAATGTGGCTGACACATGCCTGCCAACCCAGACTGCTCTGAGGTTCAAACCATGTCTGAATCCCCACAGGTCCCAGGGCTCAAACTGACGATTGGGGAGGGCCTGCCAACCTCTGCTTCGTGTCACACCTTGTCTCCCTGGTACATCTCCGGCAGCTGCCAGTAGAAGGTTTCATGGCCAAGTTGGGCGAAGTTGCCAAAAGAGAGCTGGGCACCCTCAGGCACGGGCTCCACAGTGAAGCCTCCCGTCAGGTGGCTGTTCCGCTGAGGATTCACCAGGGCAAAGCCTTGGAAGTCCCCGGGGGCAAAGCGGGTGGAGATCTAGAAGCAGGAGGGTGGGTGTCAGCCTGAGTGAGCACTGAGGCTGGCACCTTGGTGGGGGAGGGGCACGGGAGGGCATGAGGGAAGGTAATGGGGATGGCCAAGATCAGGGCTGAGACAGAAACAATGGGGGAATGGTGAGGACAACGGGGGGACCGAGGGGGCTGGGCCCAATGCTGAGATTAAGCAATAATGGGGTCATGAGGACCATTAGGGCAGGGTGAGGGTTGCTGGGATCTGCGCTTACATGGCAGTAATGGGGGCATGGGGAGGGCTTAGGGTAGAAGACAGGGTTACTGGGATCTGTGCTTACACAGGCAATAATGGGGGCATGGGCACAGGTGCCCTCATAGACAGTGGGGATGCCACTGGCCCAGGCTTCTGACTTGCCCCAGTGATAAGTCAGGGAGAGGCAAGTGGCAGGCCTTGGTTCCGGGGTGTGTACAAGATCTTACCAGGTGGCGGGTATAGGAGGAGCTGGCACACTGCTGGGTGATGCCCATGCAGAAGCAGGGCAGGCAGCCATCAGGGTTGCGGGCGCTCAGGTGGAAGTGGTGGGGCCGGCAGTGGCTGCAGGTGAGGCCTTCCACCCGGGCCTGGGAGGATGGATAAAAAGGTGGGTGCAGGGAGCTAGGCTTGCCTTCTTGCACCTCCAGCCTCCTGGGAGGCCTGTCTTTCCAGCCACTTCCAGCAGTTCTGGGAGCCCCTTTAGCCCCCATACCCAGGCCCCAACTCCCATCAGCTGCTGCCTGACTTCCCACCAGTGTCCAAGCAGTGGGCAGAGAGGGGCCCTCTGGGGGAAGGTGGCCGGGGCACAGGGACATTCCCAAGGGTACTGTGAGAGAGAAGAGCTGGCAACTGCTGTGGCTACAGGCCAGGGCCTCACAAAGGGCAGGGATCTGGACTAACCTTGCACTGGCACTGGCCAGCGGCATCACACTGGCTGCTGACGCTGCCCTGGGGGTCGCAGCCACAGCCGATGGGCTCTGGCATTTGGCCTTCTCCTGCAGGGTGGGGGGGGGAGCCACAGATGGAATCCCAAACCCGCCACCATGCACTCCTATTTCCACCACCCCTGGTCATCGAACTCACCACTGAGAGAGGCAATGTTTATTTCTAAACACCCACCAAGTGTAGGCAGCCCTCAGGGATGGGGGTGCCTTTCATTGTCCCCATTTTATAGGTAAGGAAGCTGAGGCTCAGAAAGGGAAAATCACCTGTCCCAGGTGGAAGGAGAACAAAGGCTCTGTCCTAGCTCACCCCTAGGGGAGACTGGGTAGCCTAACCCCAAAGGCCCCCCCAACCCTACTCACTTCGGCATGGCTGGCCCTGGCTGGGATTGCCATAGTAACCTGGGGCACACCTATGGAGAGAGAAAGCACTGGATGAATGGAGGGCATAATTACAGAATCCTGGTGAGCCTGTTGTGAGCCAGAATCAATGATCTCACAGCACTGGAAGAAACCAATCGGCCTAACTCACCCATTTTACAGATGGGGAAACAGCTGGAAGAAGACCAGGCATGCGCCCTAGGCCACAGAGCCAGTGTAGTTAGCATGATCGGGCCTTGAACCTATGATCTTCATAAAAATGAGGGGCTTTCTGGGAAGACTCTGGCCTGGAGTTGGAGGTGAACTGCAACCCCAGATATCCAAGGACCTCAAATGGAAAGCTCAAGGTTGAGGATCTCAGGGAAGGGAGGTGATCATCTTCTGGGCGCTTGTGTATGGGGAGTGCGAAGCTTCTGGTCCCTTTGGGTCAGGAGGACTGGGCCCAGCCTGTCTCCAGGGGCAGCCCCTCCTGCACACTACCCACCCTGCTGGTCACCTGTCTCACCTCTCACAGTGACGCCCACTGTGGCCTGGGGAGCATGCATCACAGGTAGGGTGGCCGTCTGTGTCCAGAAAGCATGTGTGGGTGGCCCTGAGTGTGGGGGAAAATTCTCAGTTAGCAAGTCAGCAGCTCTTCCTTCAGGACCAGAGAAAGGAGAAAGGACGGGCATGTGAACAAACACTCTCAGTGGCAGCCTTGTGCCGGGCGTGTCACTAAGAGCTCCATGTGCGTCATCTCATTCAATTTTTACACAAGGCAACAAGGTGGAGTTCATCATTATCTCCATTTCCCAGATGAGGAAGTTGAGGCCCAGAGAGGGAAGTGCACCATATCTTAAACTAACACACTGAGGAAGTGGTAAGGCCAGGATGCAACCACTGCCTTTCAGAAGGGCCTGGGAGGGGGCAGTGAACATTTCAAGAAAGGGCAGGTACAGGCAGGGATTGGACGCACTGGCCAGCAGAGGGGGGTCCATAGCACGGGCATGGCTGGCAGTCATTCGGTGTCCCTTGCTGGGCATCCCCGTAGTATCCCGGCTGGCACTGCTCACACCGAGGGCCTTCTGTGTGGTGCTGGCAACCCTGAAGGGACAGAGCATGGTTAAGGCTGGGCCCCTGGAGGCCGCAGATCCCTGGGGTGGGAAGAAGGGTGAAACTCACCTGGCAGTCACCTGTTTCGGGCTCACAGACCTCCGTGTGGCCGTGGCAGCTGCAGCGTTCACAGATGCCCAGGTAGAGGCCGCTAGGCGTGCGTGTGTAGCCTGTGTCACAGTCCTGGGGGCAGGAAGATGGCAGTGGGAGGAGCTTCCTCAGTAGGACCCATTCTGGGCAGGGACCACTGGGTGGCGGAGCTGGGGTGGGCTCGGGGATGTGGAAAGAACTGGAGATGGGGGAGCCAGGGAGCACCATAAAGGGAGCTGGCTGGACAGGTGTGGGGGGCCCAGGGCTCACCTGGCAGGACGGGCCACGGTACCCGGGTGGGCAGGTGCACTGTTCCACTTCCAGTGCAGGGTCCTGGCCAGTGTCCTCAGGCACAGCCACATCCATGCTGATGCCAGAGACCCTGGGAGTGACAGAACCCTCTGAATGAACACTCGCTCTGTGTCAGGCACCGCTGGAATCCTATAGGCGATTATCTCATTCATCCTCCCAACAGCTCTGTCGTGATAGTAGGGCCCCATCCAGTTCCCTAACTAGGAGTCCATCCCCCAGCTCCTCGCCCAGAAAGGTCACACCACCCTGCTCCCTGGGGTGACCAATGGCAGGACCCATGGTACAAAAGCCCCTTTGCCTCAAAGCAGGATGACTCTGTAGAGCTCCAAGGGGATGAAGCCAAGGCTCTACCTGAAACCACTCCCTTGCATGGCCACTTCCGCCTCCTGTGTCCTTCCCTCCATCCTCCCCAGGTTCCCCCTGTGAATCTTGTGTACCCCAATCCCCATCTCAGGCTTTGCTTCAGGAACCCGACCTGAGACAAGCCCTGTGAGAGAGACACTGTTAGAATCTCCATGTTACAGGTGGGAAAATAAGACACAAGATGGCCATACAGCCTGCAAGAGGTAGAGCTGGCACCTGGCTGCACCACATTACACCGCTCAGACTGGACCTGCCTGCCCGAGCCCCCTTCTGTCCTTCTGCCCCAGCCCCAGCCACCTGCTCTCAGCTGGCCGCTGGCTGTAGGATGCCTGGATCAGGAGGGTATCAATGTCCGCCAGTGCCATCAGCAGGTGCTCCCTCGTGGCTGGCTGCCCATCAGGCCTCTGCCATGCTTGCTGCCAAGGCAAGGATATGTGTGCTACAACCCCTAACATCCTGGGATACTGACACCCCTGAGTGGGAAAAGCAGGGGGCCTGCCCTCCTCCCCCACAAGGTTCCTGGGACAGTGCTGTTCACCTCCCGGAAGGGCACAGTGAAGGTGCTGGGCTGGCCTGGGTTTGGCTCCCGGGAGGGGTGATGCTCCAAGACGATGCCATTGCCTTGCAGTACCACCAACGGCTGCCTGTGCAGGGGCAGGGAGCCAGGCTGGGGCTGCTGGGTCACCGTGAAGCGTAGCTCTCCTCCATAGGAGGTCACCTGGGGCATAGGGTGAACAGGCGCTCAGCTGGGTCCCCTGGTCAGGCCCTGCACTGCTCCAGCCTCCCACCGCTCCAGCCTCCTCTTCCACCTCTTCTCCAAAGGCCCCACAACACTTCTGCTTCAGAGCCTTTGCCTGTGCTGTTCCTGCTGCCGGAATTCCCTGTCTTTTCCCACCCCCTGCCCACCTTGTCTCCCTGGAAGCGCGAAGGGAGTTTCCAGAAGTAGGGTCCAGGTAGGAGGCTGTGGAAGGAGGAGAAGACCAGTTCCCCAGGTGCAGGAGATGAGATGCCCAGGCTGGTGGTGTGGGTGCCTGCGGCGTTGATCAGGCTGAACTCTTTGGGTGCCTCAGAGGCCCCAAGTACCTGGGAGGGGAGAAGAGGCCGGATGGAGCTGTGGCCTGGGACTGGCTCTGAGTCCACCCAGCCCCGGGCTTGGCAGTCCCACCTGTCTACCCACCACCGGCCTTGCATAGGTACCTGGGCGCGGTTCCAAGAGGAGCTGGTACACTGGCGACTGACGCCCATGCAGAAGCACTTGAGGCAGCCGTCGGGGTTGTGGGCATTCAGGTGGAAAGAACCAGCGACACATTCATTGCACAGGCGCCCCACCACGTTGTTCTGCAGGCACAGAGCTGGGAGCTGCAGGATGGCCCATGGGAGGGGCTGCCTGGAGCTTCCGGCCTAATCCACCCACATTCAGATGGGGACCCAAAGCCAGGGGGAGCCATGGAAAGAGCACGTGTATAATAAAGGTTCGCAGCCATGTGAACAATAATTCCCACTTAAAGAAAGCTTATGCAACTAAATGTTTTCCCCCTTTCCCTTTGGTTGCTAGAAGATTCATAAATAAATTAAGATGTAAAGTATAGCAGGTTGGTTAAAATAATTACTGCTACTGTTTATGGTGTGTTTCATGCACCTTGCTAGTTTCTGTTCACCTATCATCTCATTTAAAAAAAAATATGTTTTTATTGATTTTTTTTTTTAGAGAGAAAGGAAGGGAGAGAGAGAGATAGAAACATCGATGTGACAGAGATACATCAATCTGCTGCCTCCTACACACCCCCTACTGGGGATCAAGCCCTCAACCTGGGCATGTGTCCTGACCGGGAATCGAACCGGGACCTCTCAGTCCATGGGATGACGCTCAATCCACTGAACCACACCAATCGGGCACCCATCATCTCACTTAACTCCTCTAAGTCCCTTGAGAGGTATGTGATACCAGTATTCATCACATGAAGAAACTGAGGCTCAGGGATGGAAAATGATTTACATAAGGTCACTTGGTTTGCTAATCCACTCTGGGATCTAAGATCAGGGTGCTTGACTCCAAAATCTGTTCAGTTCTTTTTCCCAATGACACTCTTAACACAAATGACTTCCCTCCTCTGGCTCTCTATTTCTTCACCTGTAAACTGGCAATGCTAATACCAATATCACTGCGTCTATGTGAGACTGAAGTACAGTCAAAGCAAAGGCACAGCACAGGCACAATGGCTGTACAAAGAATGACTAGCAGAGGATCTGAGACTTGAATCTGGGTCACCTGACTCCCCAACCACCTCTCATGAGGGGGAAGACTGGCTAGCCAGGCCCATCAGCTTCTAGCTAGGCCCCCACCCACCAGCCAAGGAGTTATGGAGAGGACAGATCCTCCTTTCTCCCTCTCCCAGGTATGCTTCAGAACCCAAGGCCCTGGGGTGTGCTAGGGGAGGCATGCGTACCTTACAGCGGCAGGTCTCCCCAGAGGTCCCCAATCTGCCTCGCTCATCACAGCGTAAAATCTCCTGGTCTGGTGGCACAAAGTGGGTGTTGGCAGGGTAGGAAGAGAGGACACAGACATACTCTGGGCAGATGGGAGACAGAGTGAAGCAGCTCCCCAATGATCATGGGTTTATGCTGGGCTCCAGGACTGGGGCCTGGTGGGTAGCCAGGGGAGAGTCCAGGGGAGGGTGGTTGTGATACTACTCACTGGTGGGCCTGCACTTCCCGCCTGGCTGGATGGGGTTGCCCTCGTATCCCGGGGCACAGCTGGGGGAGAGAGTGGGTTGTGAGTGGCACGTCCATGCCCCCACCCAGCACAACCTGCTTCCTCCAGCCCCCGCTGGCCTCTTTACCTCTCACAGCGGCGGCCTGTGTAGCCTGGGGCACATGCATCACACGTGGCTTGGCCATCTGTGTCCAGGAAGCAGGTATCTGAGAATCTGTGGGGAATCAAGTGGAGAGGACATGGGACAGGGCAACAGTCCAGGACAGGTCTTACAGTCTCGCATGGGGAAATGACTGCTGTTCACACAGGCAGTCATGATGTCATCTCTCCCCACTTGTTCTTGATCCGCAGCCCCGTAGCAACACTAGGAAGGCAGATGGGCCCATTATATGGAAAAGGAAATTGAGGCCCAGAGAGGTTAAGGCGCACAGAACAATCTAGTGGCCAGGTTAGGATTTGAACCGAGATCTCCCACCTCTCTGCCCAGAGTACGCCCCTAGTTTGTTGCACCGCTCACTCACCCAGACACATCCGCCCATCCCGAGCTGGGTCCTACCTGCGGGAGGCATCGATGTATGGGCAAGGGCAGGGCCGGCAGGCAGTAGCTGTGGCCTTTGTGGCGTCCCCGAAGTAGCCAGCCTTGCATTTGTTGCACTGTGGCCCCTCGGTGTTGTGCTGGCAGTTCTGGAAGGAAGGGGAGGGAGTGGCTCAGGTTCTACAGTGCAGCCCTCTGGCCCCGCATGGGGCCACACTGAACCAGACAGGCTCCGTGAGGGTGGGCCTCTGAGGCTGTCTGGCTCTGCCTCCCCCTTTGTGCCGAAACTACTCCACAGCTTTGCAGACAGGGAAGCACCCAGCTGCATCCTGACGAGGAACTCATCACCTCACATGGCAGCCTGTCCCATAGACCGTTCCAAATGCTTGCTTTCTACTGACCTAAACCTGCCTCCCTCTTCTTATCTACACCCACTGGCCAGGCCTACCCTCTGGAGTCTGTTCCTTCTACCCCTCACAGTTCTTCAGAGATTGGGAGATAAGTTTTCCCTGCTTGAGCCTTCTCTTCTGCCAGCTCCACAATCCCAGCTCTCTCCACTATCCCTAAGAAATAACATGATTTATTGGCTCCTATCCCTTAGGGCTGCCCTGCTAAGGGCCACACTTTGCATGGTACTCTCCAGCATTGGTCTGGCCAGGACAGAAGGAAGTAGGACTTGCACGTTCCTCAATTGAGCGTTCTCTCTCTGTGCATTCATCCAGAGGTCACAGTAGCTTGTCTGGTGGCCATGACCCCTGCCTTCTGTCCCCTGCCCCTAGCCAGTTGTCCATGTGCCAACTGGTACTAACCAGGCAGTGGCCATACACGGGGTCACAGTAGGTGGCATGGCCATTGCAGTTGCAGCCAGAGCAGGTACCCAGGTAGGGCCCACCAGGCACCCGGGTAAAGTGGGCATCGCAGCTCTCACAGGATAAGCCAGAGTAGCCAACAGGGCATCTGTGGGGAAAGGACCAAGACAGTGGCTGCAGGAACCGTGAGGTCCTGATGTTTCTCTCCTATCCTTGCCAGGGTCCCTGCTGGGTCAGGCACCTGCACTCCTCAACGCTGTGGGCACGGCCATGGCTGGTGGCGTAGGTGACAGTGGTATCCATGGTGACGTCGCTCAACCCCACGCTGGCCATCTTGGTGTTGTACACTGTCTGGATGAGCACGGCTTCCAGGCTTTGCAGCACCTGCATCATCTCTGCCCGCTGCACTGGCCGGCCAGACTCATGGACCCAGTGCTCCTGGGTGTGGACAATGGTGGGGTGGTTTTCATGAGTCAGCACCTGCCCAGCCAGTACCCTCTCCTGCCCCAGCCCTGAGGGCTCAGGCACCACTCACCTCAGAGAACTGGACCTGGCGCTGGTTCAGAGCACCGGGCTGGGTGGGCGTGTGGCCTCGGGAGAGAAGGCGGTATCCGGCACCCACAAGGACCACGTCTGGCCGCTGCACTGGCTCCAGCGTGCCCCGTGCCAGCTCATAGCGTACCTTGTAGCGCAGCGAGCCACCATAGGAGTCCACCTGGCCAAGACAGGACAAATCAGGGCAGGGCAACCATGGACATGCTTGATGCCCACTGTGTGTTCGGTCATCTCCCTTCTCCTCACTCTGCAGACCTGGTGCTCACTGTGTGCCTGGCATGGAGCTGGGCACAGGAAGCAGAGATGGGTGGGACCTGGGCCTTTGGGGTGCTTAGTCCAATGTGGCAGGGAGTGTGATAATGCTATGCAAAAGCTGCCCGGGGAGACCAGAGGAGGGGCCCTTAGCTCAGCCCAGGTGTGGGGTTGGTCTGGGATGGTTTTCTGAAGGCTGAGTTGGCATTCCTGCCAACGTGAGGGGCGGACAGGATGAAGAGCTGCTGTTCACAGGGGGCTGCACTGGGGCATGACCACACCTTTCCCCACAGCTGAGTCTCCCCTGCTGCCCACCAGGGGAAGGGAAGCCCAGGCAGCTTCTGGGCATGTGAGGAGGGGCTTGGCCCCTTCCTTACCCAGGATGGCAGCGGGGCCCCTCACCTTGTTGCCCAGGAACTGCTCAGGCAGAGCCCAGAAAGAGTCGTGGACCAGGAAGCGTCGGGACAGGTCGACCAGCTGGAACTCCTGCAGAGCACTGTCGATCTGCAGCTGGGTGGAGGAGAGGGGTGGCATGCCGGGCTGTGCGGGCATCGTCACATTCACACCTGTGGGTGGCAAGACGAGGAGCTGAGGGCCACAGCATGTGACCACCTGAGACACCACCTTGAGGAGTAGTAACCCAGAAAGATGGGAAAGTTCTAGAAGAAATCTGATTTAGAGAGAACTTCAGTCTCTCTCCCAAAGTAAAAAAAAAAAGCAGTTTCTTTCTCCTCCTGAAGTTTTGGCGTGGCATTTCCCAAAGCAAGCTCTGGGGAGAGCCAGTTCTGTGGAATGACGACTGGGAACTATTTGGGAACCACTGGGTCAAAGAAGGGTCCTGGGGATTCCTTACAGCAGGACTTCTCAGGACCTTTTGCCGGCCAATAGATCCATGGACTGTAAGGGTTGAAACAGCCCTCAGGGGGCAGTAGAGAGCTACACGGGGCTGAAGAACAGGAACTCAAGTCCTGGTTCTGCCACCTTCCAGATGTGTGAGTCTGGGCAAAGGCCTCAGTTTTCCTATATGTAAAATGGGGTAATAGTGGCTTGCTTGACAGGGTTATTAAGAACTTAAAATGAACAAACTGATTTAAAATGATTAAAACAAAGTGTGGCACAGAGGCAGTGCTCCAAAACAGCTGTTACTCCGTTGGATGGTTAGCTGTTGTTGCTGTCACTAAGACCGGTCATCTGGTCCAACCCTCTCCCCCCCCACACAGGAACTTTCTCCACAGCCTATCCCAGATCTCCAGGGTAGCACCAACTATCCAAGAGAACGTTCTGTGATGATGGAAATACCCTGTATCTGTACTTCCAATACGGTAGCCATTAACCACATATGGCTGCTAGACACTTGAAATGTGGCTAGAGTGACTGAGGAACTGAATTAATTTATTTAAATTTAAATAGCTACACATGGCTAGTGATTACCACATTGAGAGCTCATTACTTCCAAAGGCAGTCCCTCCCTTACCCTGCTTTTATATCTGTCTACATCTGCCAATAGCTTTTCTCCCTGACCCTAAATGTGCCCCTGCAACCATGGAGGAGTCCAGCCCCTCATCTGCAGAATGACATACATAGCCCCCAAGACCAGGCTGCCTTCCTCCTTCCCTTCAAGGGATGTTTTGAAGCTTCCCATCCTGGTCACCATCCACATACAGGCCACCTACTCACCTTGGAATTCCCTACCCACCTTGACCATCCTAATTCCAATCAGACAGTCCTAGGTTCCAGTTCTGCCTCTGAAACAGCCGTGTGACCCCGGAGAAGCCCCACAACCTCTACGAGCCTCTAGCTCCTCATCTGAAAACAGTAAAATCAGCCCCAACTTTGCCAGGACTATTAGCCACCCAATGACTGTGTGAGTCAAGCCACAGTACCAATTGAGTGTTTGTGAAATGATGCCCATGGCCATTATCATTCTAAATATACCAAGAGACAACTTTGGGAGTCACTTTGAGGTTTCTCAACAAACAGAGGGACATAACAGGCAACGTCTGTTGGTACTTACTGCATAAGGCGTTAAACCCTCCACTCACTTCTAATCTTCTGTGATGAAGGTAGTAAGATGAAGGGCTGCCTGACATCAGGTGGTAATGACCAAGCTGGGACTTGAACCCAGGTCTCTCTGATGTCTGGGTCCTTGCCACTCTGCCTCACAGAGCAAGGGAACTAAGCCCAGCTGCCTGCCTTTATGTTTGGGAAAACAGGCCCAGAGAAGCCAGGAGACTTGGCCAAAGTCACATGGGCAGTAATTGGTGTGGCTGGAGGCCTGCCCTGGGCTAAGATGCGCAAGCCTGGGCTCCTATGTTCTGGGGACAGTGGCACCTCTCAGTCTGTCAGGATGAGGACAACAGTAGGGAATACTTACTGGGCACTTACCAGGGACCAAGTGCTATTCTGACAGGCTGACAACATTAACCCATAAGTCATTACAACAACCTGGGAGGTAGTTATTATTTTCTCCCTATTTTGTAGATGAGAAAACTGAGGCACAAGATAGGAACTCGATCAAGGCTACACAGGCAGTAAGGGTCAGAGCCAAGATTTGAACCAGGAATCTGACGCCAGAGCCCATCCTCTTCATAACCTGAAGCAGGCAAATATCAAGTGTAGATTTGGCTTTTCCTAAAATATTTGTTTTTCCCCGAAATGCTTTTCTCACAGGGCTCAGCATTTCTTCCGCAGCCCTGCATCCCTCCCAAACCTGGTCCCACACACCCAGTGCTGCTGCTCTCCCATGCCTGCCCTCCCTCTAAGCCCGCTGGAGACTGGTGTCCGCCTCCCATCCACCCTCGCCCCCACCACTGTCTGCCCCCCACCAACGCACCCTTGAAGTCATCGGGCCTGTCAAAGCGCAGCCGGATCTGGTCTCGGAAGCGGCGGCTGCTCTGGCACACGTTGGTAACACCAAAGCAGAAGCAGGGCAGGCAGGAGGCGCTGTGCTCCAGGTAGAAGTGCCCATCCTCACAGGGCCCTGATGGGCAGCACAGAGTGGGCTGCAGCAGGTCCCGGGCAGGCAGCCCTGGCCCACCCCCACACCCAGTACCCCCAGCCTGATGGTGGTACCTCGCTGTGGAATGAGCTCCAGGACACCGTCAGGAATGCCAAACACCATGCCTCGGGCATTCATGGCTTCACAGGTGTAGGCACCCTGGTCTGCCTCCTTCACGTCTTGGATGGTCAGCGTGCCTCGGCCTCCCTCACTGGTCACTGTCACCCTGGTGGGCCCCAACACAGAGGCAGGGTCAGGCCTGGGCCACTGGCCCAGCCTCCTCTACATCCCTAGCCCCCGCCCAGGCCCAGGGCCACACCTGGGATGAGACGGGATATGGCCCCAGTTGAGCCGCCAGTTGATGATGGGGGTGGGGACACCGATGGCCACACAGGTAAAGGTCACTGTCTGGCCCCGTGAAACCTGGATCAACTCCTGGGGAGGGGTCACCACCTGGGGAGGCACTGGAAGACAAGAACAGGATCGAGGGGTGTGAGGGGCAAAGGGATAAGGAGTAGGGGAAACGGCTCAGAGGAGCCAGCCCAGTGTCCCCAGCTTGCCCCCCAGCTCCCTGCTCACTGCAGCCAAATTCATCGCTGCGGTCAGGACAGTCGCTCTCCTCATCACAGTGGAAGCTGGCTGAGATGCATGTGTTCGTGGAGACACAGCGGAACTGCGTGGGCCCGCACACGTCCTCGGGGTGCTTGGCAGCTGGGGGACAGAGCAGGCGCTGTGGGCAATGGGTAGATCACCCCATTTCTGACTTATGCCCACAGCCCCACCCTGTCCACCTTCCCCAGGTGTTCCTGGGGTCACTCTCTCATCTTGCCCACATGCCACACAGCTACCCTGACCAGGCCCAGAAACTGTTGCCACAACACTGCCCACAATGTCACGGTTATCAGTCAGCCATCAAACAGCTCATCACATTACCATGCCCTCACCACTCACTCCACCTGCATTGCCCCAAACCTGGCATGTCACAGTCACTCAGTTCCTCCCACATTTGGCCACCGTTAGAAGCACAAGACCTGTCAAAAGCATGACCAAAGTGGCTTGTATCTCTGGATTCTGGGTAACACCTAGGGCAGTTCTACCAGAAAGGCCTTGCAAGGGGCCTGCCACAGCCTGGACCTTGCTGCTCTGTATCCCTCACCGGCCCAGGATGGCACCTGACCTGAGGCAGCCACCTATGAACTGGCCAGAGGCATATAGTAGGCATGGTGCCAGGGCTGGGCCCTAGCTTGGCATCTCTAGAAGACAGTGACTGACATTATTCCCCAAGGAGACTGAGCTTGAGACAGACACACAGACAGAGATGGAGAGATAATGGAATGAATGGTGAGATGGACAGGAGGATGCTGGATAGACAGGTGGATGGAGAGATGAAGAGCTATGCAGAAAGACGATGGATGGATGGACAGTTAGATGAAAGGGTGAGTGGACAGATGGATGGAAGGGAAGAAGGATGTTGTACAGATGGGCAACGGATAATTGAATGGACAGATGCATTAAGAGCTGGGCTGATGAAGGAACAAATAACTCAGAACCAGCAAGGTGAGAAATCTTAAGGCCCATAACAGGAATGCTTTGACCCGCACACACGTCAAACCTCATCATCAAGGGACCCTGGTGTATGCACCAAGCCCTCTTAACCACTCATCTGACACACACATAAGCATAAATAACAAAGACAAGATTAACGGTATTGAAAGAAACAAAGAGACATTAACCATGAGCACTCCAGCCAGGCTGTTTGCTACAAAGACAGCTCAGAGCCCAGGGCTCTCACTGCCGGGGTCAGAGAGAGAGAAACCTTAGAGTTTGTCCCCAGGGCCTTCACCACTCAGCCAGTGAGAGCAAACAAACCTGCCCAAGAAGGGAGGGAACAGGGGTCAACTAGGTCTGGGTGGGGCGAGGACGCCAGGAGAGCCCCGGGACACTCACGGCAGTTGGCCTCATCGGTGTGGTCTTCACAGTCGGAGTCGCCATCACAGCGCCACAGCTTGAGGACACAGTGCCCATTTCCACAGGGAAACTCGTTGGGCTCACAGGGGGGAGTGGGGCCTGAGTGAACCGGGCAAGGTTCAGCCAGAGGCCCTCCCTGGCCAGTCCTCCACCCCCTAAGCCCCTACCTCCACCCCTGCCCAGTCCTCACCGCAATCCAGCTCATCACTGCCATCCTTGCAGTCCTCCTGCCCGTCACAGACATAGTCTTTGGGGATGCAGTGCCCGCTGCGGCATGCGGTCTCATGGGGCCCACAGGGCACGGGCCTGACAGGGCCAGGGAGATGGTGGGGAACCTCGATGCCTGGGGGCCGTGTGGTGGTTGCCTCTGGCCGGGGTGTTATAGGTAATGTCTCCGCTGGAGGCGGTGGCGAGGAGACGAGCTCTGGGGCTGGCTCTTCTGTGAACACAGCCACTTGGTGTTGGCAAGAGAGGGTAACTCCTCACCCCTCGCCACCCACACTCCCCCAGGCTCTTCCTGCCACCCAGCCCGTGTCCTGGCCCTGACCCTGGTATCACCCTTCCATGTCCCTGCCCACCGCCCTCAGACCCCTCTGCCTGCACCAAACTCTTGCAGCCCAGATTGACTTGGAGGCCCAGGCATACCCTGACCCTTCCCTTGCATCTGTAGGCCCTGTGCCCCCAGACAGTCCCTCACCACAATTGAGCTCATCAGACATGTCCCTGCAGTCAGGCCTCTGGTCACAGCGATACTCCAGGGCTATACACTCGTTGTGGCTGTGGCAGGCAAACTCGGTCTCAGTGCAGACTCTCGGGATCTGGGACACTGGAATGGGAGGGAATCAGAGAGGCAGGTGGAAGGTTGATGGAAGGAGTAAGGACAGCACAGGCACTGCATGGCTGCGAGTGGGCTTTGGTGCCCTGTGTCAGGCCAGGTGGTTTTTGGCCGACTGAGCAAGGGCAAGAAGCACATGGTGCACATATCTGCAGCACACAAGACATAGGATGCGTGGCAGTAGCCTCACCCAGGCCTTACCCAGCTAACATGCCACACACACACATGCACACAACCTAGCCCAGCGAGGACAAAGAGGAAGAGCAGAATGGGTGGCTTGTGCACTATGCCCAACCATCATGGCCTCATCCTTCCTTCCCCGCCATCTATTAACTTTAGTTACCCGCTGGGCCCAGGTCCAGCTTACACTCTCACCTGGTGTCACTGTGGTCGCCACAGTGGCCAAGGGGGGCTGTGCTGGAAAGGAAGGTGTGATCAGCAGCCACCCTACCTGAACCTGGAACCTGTGAGCTGCTGGGCTGGGGGCCCACTCCACCATCCCTAGCCCTGCAGACTCATTGGAAAATGAAGAGGGCTGAACCCCCTGCAATCTTCAGACCTGGGCCTGGGGATGCCAAAAGAGCAAGCTTGATCTTCGGGTGCAATAATTAAAGTTTTACGTGCAAAATGAGGGAGGTGATGGCTTCACTGTATTTTTCTGATTGGGATACACCATGGTAGGGATACAGCTTTTCAGTTCTGGGTTCCACTGAGTCAGAGGTGGGGACATGTTGGAGCCTTCCCAGGAAAGGGGACTGAGATGGAGACGGCTGAGAACCACAGTCTATGAGGAATGAACTGGGATTGTTTAGACTAGAGAAGAAAAGACTCTGGGAGTCAAAACAGGGAACACGGTGCCATAAAAAGAGCCCTGGGCCGACTGAGTACAGAGGCCAGGATTTTGCATCTCAGAGCCGTGTGACTTTGGGTCAGTTTCCTATCTTCTCTGAACCTGTTTCTCATCTCATCTTATCATAGGTTCTGACAAGACTCATAAAGACACAGGGTTTGGTTTCAATTCTGGCTTTTCCACTATCAGTGTATGTGGATCTGAACAAGTCATTTTTTCCCTTTCTGGGCCTCAGTATTCTCATCTCTAAAACAGGAGGAATAGCCCTGGCTGGTGTGCTCAGTGGTTAGAGCGTCAGCCCACGGGTCTCAGGTTCAATTCCTGGTCAAGGGCATGTACCTGGGTTGCAGGTTTGATCCTCAGCCCTGGTTGGGGTCCTGTGGGAGGCAACCAATTGATGTCTCTCTCTCTCTCACATCAATGTTTCTCTCTCTCTCTCTCCCTCCCTTCCTTCCACTCTATCTAAAACTCAATGGGAAAATATCCTCAGTTGAAGATTAACAACAACAAAAAAGAATAAAACAGGAAGAATAATATCTACTACACAGGAATTATTGTGATATTTTGAAGATTGAATTGGAGGCTGGACATAAGGGCCTTACAGAGTGCCTAGCATGTAATCAGTGCTCAGTAAATAATTATTGCTTATTATTAAACACAAAAGTGTTTTGGATCTGAAAGTACTGTATGAAGAAAAGATCTATTCCTCTTGTCAGTATATAGAGGTAGACAGAGAACAGAAACTGGGTCTAATAAGTGTATGTTAGAGGAAATAGTTTATGTTCAACCCAAGCTGAGACTGAATCAAGATTGATGGGGTAGACTCATAGGGGGTGAGCTCCCTGTCCCTAGTGATGTGTAAGCCCAAGGTAAGAGAGCCCATGGTGGGGACACTCAAAAGGTATCCATATAAATCTGATAAACTGGAGGATGTGACCCCAGGCTCCAGGATGGGCTCACCTGTGCCCAGGCGTCGAAACTGGAATCCCTGGGGAGAGGTGACGTAGGAAGCAATGGAGCCGCTGGCGATGACTGAGTGCAGCACCTCCTGAATCTGAGCTGCATCTGTGTTATTTTCGGAGCCCACATCCAGCTCCACAAAGACCCAGCCGTCCAGCTCCCTGGGCACAGGAATGGGACAGGGGAACAGGGTGAGAAAGATGCCTATGGTCTCAGCTCCTCCCTTGGCCCCTTGTCTGATACTCAGGCCTAATCTGACTCTTCCCTTGCTCCTGGACACCCTGTACCCCAAGCAGGGCAAGTTAAGGTCCAAATTGTCCCCCCACCAATTCCTGAATTTTCACCTGGTTAGCCTCTCCTGTCTCCCCTCCCAGTACCCAGGCTTCTCCCATCTTTGTCAGCTTCTTCTGGCCCCCAATCCCTCACCAGCCCCCAAGAGACCCTTCTCACTTGATGAACACCACACTGACAATCTGGTCTCCGGGAATCTTCAAGTACTCCGACTCCAGCTGGGGAGGGACACAGCACCATCAGCCCTCAGATACCTTCACCCTACCCTCAGTCCTGCCCACCTGGGGAGCTCCCCAGGGCCCCTTCACCTCACCGTGTCTACCACAGCCTTGGACACTTCTCGGAAAGCCTCGGAGCCTGCATCCTCCAGCTCAGGGCTATAGTCGATGGAACGAGTGAAATTTACCAGGGCTCGGAAGTAAACTGCAGAAACAGGGGGAGGGGATGTGTCACCCTGTGGTGGCTTCAGGCAGTTAGGCCCGTAGGTAGAAATAGAGCGATCACCCTGGCCAGTTTGGCTCAGCGGTTAGAGTGTTGGCCCCGGAATAGAGACCCGGGTTTTGTTCCCGCTAAGGGCATGTACCTCGGTTGCAGTTTGTCCCGAGCCCCAGTTGGGGTCATGTGGGTGGCAACCACTCAATGTGTCTCTCACGATGTTTCTTTCTCTCTCTTCCTCCTTCTCTCCCTCCCGCTCTATCTGAAGATAAATGCAAAAATGTCCTCGGGTGAGGATTAAAAAAAAAAAAGAAATAGAGCAATGGTGCCCACAGCTCTGCCCAGAACTGCCCCTAGTAGTACATGCTACAGTGGCCCTGGCTGGTCTGCCCAGGAGTCAAAGCCGAGGTCCCACCTAACAGGAAAAGTGGCCTGATCCAGAAATCAAGCCATGGTACAGAAGAGGAGACTCCTGGCAGCTCAGAGGAAGGCTGAACAAGAAGTGAGGCTTCCAGAGACGGCTGGCAAGTGAACCACTCTTCCCTGGACATTTTGTCCTCAACCCTCAGGGCTCAGTTCAGCTATCACCTCCTCCAAGAAGACTGCCTGAACTGCCCTCCTGCCCCAACCCTGGCTGGGTTTGAGACTCCTCCTTGGGGCTCGCCCAGCCTCTCTGCTTTCCTGTCAGAGCACCTTCTAACCCACGTGGCACAGATGCTGCCTGAACACACATGGATCATAGAGCATCTTCATAAAAATCATGGGCCTGCCCTGGCCGGTTTGGCTCAGCGGTTAGAGCGTCGGCCTGCGGACCAAAGAGTCTGGGTTCAATTCCAGCCAAGGGCACGTACCTCGGTTGCAGTTTGTCCCCAGCCCCGGTTGGGGTCGTGCAGGTGGCAACCAATCAATGTGTCCCTTTTACATCGCTATTTCTCTCTCTCCTTCCCACTCTGTCTGAAGATAAATGTAAAAATATCCTCGGGTGAGGATTAAAAACAAACAAATAAATGAATAAAAATAAAAGAACTTAAAAAAAATAAATAAAAATCATGGACCCTGAGGTCAGCCACATCTCAGGCACTGACCTCACCTCTCTCGGTCAACTGGGGACACTGATTACGTTAACCATGCTGGGCTGCTGTAGGGAATACGTGATATCACGCTGACATGCACCACCTCCCTGTGTGCTCAGATGCCGCAACTGGCATGGAACAAGCACTAAAAATCAGAAGTGCTGTCACCTTTCTCTCTACTGCCAGACTATGAACTTGAGAGCGGCGGGGGACTGCGGATGTCACTCACTCCTGTATTCCCAGTGTTTGCATAGCACCTAGCACATGGTAGGTGCCTAATAAGTGATGGCTGAATCAATTTACATCAGATTGGTGTGTGCATATACATACAACTATTGTTTCTTAAACACCTACTGCATACATTTTATACATATTAAATCTCATAATGTCCCTGAGTTCATATAGCAGTTATAAAAAGGAGTTCATATGAGTTGCGAATGACTCATATATATGTGTATATAAACATACACCAAGTTTTTCTTGAGCATCTATTATGGACAAGATTTTTTATGCATTAATTCTCAATGTCATGAATTAAGGTGTAAATTACAAATACTGAGTTGACACGAGTTACAAATGAGTTTTAAATATGTACAAAGTGCTTAGCACAGAGCTTGGCACACAGTAGGTACAATATATTATGACTGATTACTGTATGAGAGGCCGTGTAGCTTAGTGATTAAAAGCTCAGCCTCTGGAGCAAAACTGCCACTTACGGCCCTGTGACCTTACCCTCACTGAGCCTCAGTTTCCTTGTCGCTAAAATGGAGGTAACAGTAGTGCCCACCCCAGGAGGCTGTTGTGAAGAGTAAGTTAACACATATGAGGTGCTTATAACAACATCTAGCACATAGTAGGGGCCGCACAGAGTTGGCTGTAATTATACCCTCTGGTCTATGACAAACCCGGGGAATGGATTTGGTTTTAGTTCTTCGCATCTGAGGGGGCATTCCCTGCTTTAACACATCCGTATGAACTGCTGTATGCCAGGCAGTGTTCTAAGGGCAAGGGCACCCGCGTGAACTCCACAAATGACAACTCCTGTCCCCACAGAGGTCCCTTTCCAGTGGGAGGAGAAAGGCAGTAACACAATGAGCAAGGAATGTATATGGAGGCAGGGTGCTGCTCTCCCAGGGTGGCCAGGGAAGGCCTCTCCTCAAAGGGGATGCTCGAAGGAAGATAGTGAGCTCCAGGGGTATCTGGGAGAACAACATTCCAGGCTAAGGGAACAGCAGCTGCAAAATCCCTGAGGCAGAAGTGGGTTCAGAGAGGTGACAGATGACCGGCGTGTAGGTGCAGAGGGAATGGCATCAGCTGGGCCCGACCACAAAGCCTGCCCTCCTCCCTCTTCACTCCATCAGGCCCACAGGTATACACGCCCCCAGAACCAGGACCCTCTCCCTCTGGGGCTCGGGCTGAGCAAGCCCAGGCAGGGGTGGGCTGGTATGGGAGTAGGCTTAAACTCCTACACCAAGAGAGGGTGTTGTGAGGGCAGCACTGCCTGCCCTGAGCCACAGGGACCCTACCAGCCTGGGCTCCTGGGTGCCGGGCGGGCGGGGCTCTGGGGCCCAGAGTATGGGAGCCACGAGCTTAGCCACAGAGGCCCCTTGTGAGCAGGCACAGAGGTCCATTGAGAGTCCCCCCACCCTGGCCCCTGGCCTCAGCCCCACGGCACGGCAAGGGCAAGGAGGCCAGGCCTCTGCCCAGGAATGTGCCCACTCCTGGGGGAGGGGCCTGGGCTCCACAAAGCCCCTTTCTACTAGAGCCTGGGAAGGGCATGGACCCTCCAGCCTGACCCCACCCCCGGCTTTCTTGCAAGCCAGGATAGGTCAGGGTGAGCCCTTTCCTCTTCCACCCTGGGATGTGTCCCTGTAACTGGTGCCTGAGGGTTGGGGCACGTGAGGTCTGTCTGTTTCAGGAACCTGCCCCCAGAGCTGAGGGTGCTGGAATGGGGTGATGCTGCCGGGGCTGGGAGTGCTCGCTGGGTGCCTGCCCAGGCCGGCACTCTCCCTCCTGGCCCTCATTCTGATCCCATCTGGAGAGCTCACTTGAAGCCAAAGGCTGGAGAGATGAGAGGCCCAGAGCTGCCTTGCACCCAAGTGGGGGTGTGGAATGCAGGCTACCCCTCCCACTCCCTGTGCTCACTCCCTGTTCACCAGAACTCCCACACATACCCAGGCCCTGGAAACCCATCCCTGGGTCCCTCTGGGTCCTTAGGTGGGCCCAGGATCAGCCAGTCCTCAGGTGGACACAAGTTGCCTCCAGACTCTAGGGCTTTTTTCCCCGAGAGGTTGCCGTATCCATCCCTGTCCAACCAGCACCCATGCCCTGGCCGGTTTGGCTCAGCGGTTAGAGCATCGGCCTGCAGACCAAAGAGTCACGGGTTCAATTCCAGTCAAGGGCATGTACCTTGGTTGCAGTTCAGTCCCCAGCCCTGGTTGGGGTCGTGCAGGAGGCAGTCAGTCAATGTGTCTCTCCCACATCGATGTTTCTCTCTCTCTCTCTCTCTCTCTCCTTCCCTCCCTCCCACTCTATCGAAAGATAAATGGGAAAAAAGTATTCTTGGATGAGGATTAAAAAACAACAGCCACCAGCACCCTGTGGGAAGAACACCAGGCCCAGCCCCCTTTGTTCAGACTGAATGGCCAGATGGGGCCTGACTGTATCCTGGGCAGGGCAGGGGGAAGGTGGGCTAGCTGGGGTGGGGCAGTGGCTGGCCTGGCCCCTAGGCCCTCTAACGATGTGCCTCTGAGCCTCAAGTGTGACAAAGTGCAAGGTGGGGAGGAAGAGAAGAGGAAGGAAAAGGAGTGAGGAGGAAGAGCTGGTAGAGAGGGTTGGGAGGGAGAAGGAGAACGAGCCCACCAGGCTGGCAGGTCACTTACTGAGAGGAGACGCCTCATCAGGCTCCGAAACCATCATACCAGCCACAGGAGGGTGGCCCAGGGGTGGCCCAGGGCCTGCAGAGTGGGGCAGCAGAGAGGGAGGAGAGCAGGGGCGGAGACAGCAAAGGGAGAGACAGAGACATGAAGAGAGAAAGAGAGACAACAGACAAAGTGAGGAAACAACAGAAATTTGAAGACAGAATCACAGATATTTGGAGACAGAGACACAACGAAGGAGACAGACAGAGACACAGAGACAGTGGGGGGAGAATAAGAGAGAGATGAGACAAAGGCAGAAGGAAGCGAGGGAAAGACAGAGACATAGGGGCAGAAGTGGCAAGCCAAAAAGAGGAAGAAAGACACAGAATGAGACAGAAGGATGAAGCACAGATGACAGACACAGAGCAGGAAAACGACAGCCCGGGCAAGGCAGGAGGGGAGCAGGAGAGACATGGAGACAGGAGTCAGAGCAGGACAGATAGGAGTGGGAAAGACAAAGAGGTCAGAAGATGGAGAGAAATTGGATGAGGGGAGGTGGGCAGGGGCTATCAAGGAGCGACACAGTTGGGGGCATAGGGATAGGGCTGGGGCGGAGCCTCTGGGAGCCACAGCCCTGCCAGAGGGAAGAGTCATCTCTGGGGCTACATTGCAGGCTCCGGGGTTGGGCCAGGGCCCAGTCAGGGTGCACAGCCAGGTACAGCCTCATCACAGTCAGGATAGCCCTTGCTGAGCAGCACAGGGAAGGCAAGGCTGAAGCACGTATGCTGAGCTGCTGGGAATCAGACACACCCGCTGCCTTCCAGGCTAAGATTCAGCCCAGCTGTGTGAACCTGCCCCAAGGGCAGTGCCCGGTGCCAGGGCTTGGGCCTAGAAGGTGCAGATCAGCCCTACCCACGAAGAAAGGGGCCCTGCCCTCAGGCCCTCCCCAGCTGCTGCTCCCTATCCCTACCCTTCCCCCACCCCTGGCCTCTCTTGTCCTCACAGCTGCTTCCCAGTGGGGAGATGGGCTGGTAAACAACTCAGAGTGGGCAGAGCTGCTGCAGTGGGCAGCCCCATGGGAGGGGCCACAGATACCCCAAATGGTCAGGGTGGACTGGACCAGGGCCTCCAAAGGCAGGCCTGGCTCGGCAAGAAGCAGCTCCCAGGGACGCATCAGCACAGGCCATTCTGGGATGTGAGCTGTGTGCACGGCACCTTACACCCACTCCTGGGCCCCACCCAGCTCCCAGGCATCCTGCAGCCCTGCAGAGACCTACACGTGGAAAAGCTTCAGGCAGTGTCTGAGTCCCAGGTGCTGGGAGGTCACAGTCAGTACTACTCCACCCACAGGCCCTCCTGTTTGCACTGGCCCGGGTAGGATGCCACCCTCTGGCATTTGGATGCCCCTGAGATGCCAGCTGAAGGGAGTCGACCCCAGCCCTGGTCAGGCCCAGGCCAGACTTGCCCAGGCCTGCCAGTGTGGGCAGCACTGGGTGCTGTGGGGCTGCCTGAGATCAGCCTGAGCCGAGCCCCATCCTTGGCTCTGATCACAGAGGGCTCGCAGAGGTCAGCAGGAACTATATGGAGTTGCTGGGATTTGTGACTAGTAGCTCCTTCTGTACCAGAATCCCAGGGTGGGAGGAAGCAGGGACTCTGAGGCCCATGCCCAGTGCTGGGCCAGCGCTGCTCTGGCTGGGCACACTGGGTGTGGCAGAGTGGGCAGCTGACAGAGCCCCAGATTCCTTTCCCTCTGTGAAGCCCAGCCCTTTCCCCAACCTAGGAACCCTTGGCTTCCCAGAGGCGACCTAACCTAAGGCAGGGTTCCCTCCCAGTTCTGGGTGGGGCTGATTCTCCCCCCACTGTCAGCTCTGTTGGCCTGCCTAAGTGCCCGATGCCACAGAGCCCCTCTGGCTGCCCATCCCTGCCGGGGGTCCCCAGCTCTGCAGCAGTCCTCAGGAGGACTCGGGAGAACTCTACAGCTCAGCTGCCCTGGGAATGAGTTTATCTTCGAATGCTGAGTGGCTGGCTTTCAGTCCCCATCAGAACCAGGTATTTCTTATCTCTGGCCATACCACCCTGAATGCACCCTATCTCCTCTGATCACAGCACCGGGCATTTCCTGGCACAGGCAAGCACAAAACCTGGCCATGCCCAACCTTGCAGGGACCTGCCAACCAGTTCATATAACTGTCACTCAGGAGGTCCGAGGCCACCTTCACGGCAAGCCCAAGGAGCCTTCCGGGTCCTTGGCCCCAGAAATGGGACCTCTGTGGCTGGAAAGACCTGCTCTGGGGCTTTCCCAGGTGCAGGATGGGGCCTACAAGTGGAGCCCAGCAACTTACCAATCTGGAAGAACCCGCTGCCCATGTCCCCACTTCCCAGGCCGTCTGCAAGCAAAAGAGAGACTTATTCAGCAACATGTGGTGAGCACCTACTTGGTGTCAGGCACTGTTCTGGGCACATTTGGGGAAGGTCATGAAAACACAACTGTTACCTCCTCTCCAGGCCTAGGGAGAGCTGGCCTGGAGAGGGGGTGTGGACCAGGGGTGGCTGGGGAAAAGGGCCAGGCCAGACGGGTCTCCGGGTGAGGACAGGAGGAGGTGGCACAGGGATGGAAACTGTCTTCCACTGTGCACTGTCCACCACTGTCCCCGTCAGTCCTGATCATCCTGTCCCAGGAGGGGACTGCCGCAGCAAAGGAGCCAGCACCGCCCAGGCTCACAGGTTTTAAGTGGAGAATCCTGGGGTCACTGGGAACAGGGCTCAGGACACACACAGCTCTTAGCCCATCTTTTGAGGTGCCACCTTGGGCAAGCTTCCTGAGGGCTCTTTAAAGCCTAGTGGGGAGAACCTTGACTCTGCCCCTCACCCCCTCCACTCCCAGCCACCAGAACCCTCTGCCCACCTCCAGAAGCTTCGTCAGCAAGCAAGTCCTCATCGTCAGAAAGGTCTGAGTAGCTCCAGCCAGCCCGGCCTGCCGTAACCGTTTCTGCATCCTCGGGCAGAGACAAGTCATCATACTCCCTCAGCCCGTGGGTCACCTGTGGGAGACCACACAGACGACCATGTCACACTCTCCAGCTCCTGCCAAGCCCAGGACCAGCCCCTCCCTTCAAGCGGGACTCAGAGTCCCACCCCAAAGCCCTCTAGTGGTTAAGGCAGATGTGATGTGGCTAAGAGAGTCAGGCTGGGGCTGAATCAGTATTTTTGACTCAGCTTCCTCAAACCCCATTAGCTCCTTGAGGCCTCAGAGCCCAACCCTGCAAATTCACCAAGTTTGAATGAATCCTCACATAAACGGACAATAAAATTAAAATCACTTTGGTAAGTGATGACTCTTCTTTTGGAGAAGGCAAGAGATATCCAGGACATGAGTTAGTGGACAGGAGGACACAGGCAGGTAAAGGGTGACCTGGGCCAGCAAAGATGGGAACATAGGCAGGTGGAAGAGTGGCCAGGGTCAGCGTGGAAGGGGGACAGAGGCAGAAACTGAGGGTGAGTCGGTCGAAGCTGTTGCCCCCAATAGCAGCTCCTGCCAGGCCAACTTGGCCACCTCTTTCTTCCTCAGTCTGGCCTCAACATCTCCAGGCCACAGGGAGCACATTCCAGCCACGCTGGAGAATTCCTTCTGGCACTTTCTGCTATACAGACAGGCTCGTCTGTGCAGAGGCGAGGGTGGAGCCTAACAGCTGGGCTGAATGGGGGCAGGACAGGCATGCTATCAGCTCCCGGTGACCCCAGGCTGTTGCTGAACCCAGCACAAACTCCATGAGCAGCTGCTCAGACCCTGTACCCTGCAGGCTGGAGCAGAAGGGCGCCAGCAGCCATCACACCTGCCTTTCTTAGGTGTGGGTGTGGGCAGTGAAAGCCTCTTTCCCTTAGACAAGATCAAGATTTTTCCAAAGGAGTTTCACCAGTTCACTTAGAGGAAAACAAACCCAGTGGAGCCTCAGGGAACCCCAGAGCCCCCTCCCCCGACAAGTGTGCAAGGATTCTTTGTGGCCCCACAAGGCATGTCCAGGCCCAGATGGCCTGGCAGGGGCGTCTCATGCCCTGCCCTGCCCTTGGCCCTATCTGGGGAGCCCAGCTTGGCCAGAAGAAAATGGCCTTGCCTGTCTGTGAAAGCAAAACCCAGCCACCGGCCAGGCAAGGTGGTGGCAGCAGGAGAGAGACCCCAGGAGAAGAAAAGAAATCAAAGAAATAGCCTGTCCCTATCCTCCCCATCCCCCAACTTCACATAGTCCATGTCCTGGAGCTCCTGGCCGTTTCTCATGAGGGTCCCTCTGCCCAAGTGCCCTTCTTCCCTTTGTTTATCTAGCTAACTCCAAATGTCCTAAAAAATTCAGCTAAACAGCACCTCCTTTAACTGCTCAGTAATAAAAAGGAACAAATTAGAGGTACACACAGCAACACAGATGAACCTCTAACACTGTGCTAACTGAAAGAAGCCAGACACAAAAAGACTCCCTACTGTATAAAACTCTATGGGTTAAAGTCTAATCTATGGTGACAGAAAGATCAGTAGTTGCCTGGGACCAGGGGTGGGGTGAGGCTGACTGGGAAGGGGCACGAGGGAGCATTTTGGACTAATGGTTCCCTGGGTACATACATCTCCTTGTTATTGTACCCTTGAAATGATGGGTAAATTTTATTGTATGTATTTTACACCTCAATAAAGAAGACTAAACAGAAAATCTCTGAGAGCCTTTGTCCTGACTCCTTGCCTTTCCCAGTCTCCTGTACCCCCAGGCTGGGCTCTGCACTCTCTAGGGCTCATCTTGTAATTGCCTGTACCTCTGCTAAAATAGCAGCACCTTGAAGGCAGGGACTGTGATTAATTCAGCTCTACTTTCTCAGCACTTGTGTTTAATAAACACTTGAATGAAGGAAGGAAGGAATGAATGAATGAAAATGTCATCACCTATTAATTCTAGCAGCTTCCTGAAGATGACTTGCTTTGGAGCAGGCACAACCCCCCATTAGGCTAGTGCATCTCCTTTCCTGGGCTGGAGGCAGGGGCTGAGTGCCATCTGGTTATCTTTGCAGTGCTACCAAGCCTTGTGTGAGGCCTGCGCTGCCCACTTTATCCTCTGCTAAGGCCTCACGCCCCTCCCCCCATCCATGAGCAAACCCTTCCTATTCCTTCTCTCCCCACCCTCTCCCTCTGGACAAGGGTGGTCAGTGAACTTCTGGGCTGGGCCTCGAGGTCCACACCCAGGATGAGCTCTAGAGCCTCCAGGAGGTGGTGAGACATGGATTCCTGGGCTGCCTCTCAGAGCCACTGAGTCAGGCTCACTCCACTCGGGCCAGACGGTTAGAGTTATGTGTGCTCAGGGGATTCGGACACTCACTGGTTAAGATCACAGGATCAGCCCCCTACCAGGGCCTCTCCCTCCTCCCCTGGCTAGGGGGTGTGGGTCCTGAGCACGCCCTGATGACCCAAGGGGAGTATGAGGCTAGCGCTGTGGCAGGGGCACTGAGACACAGGGATTCCTGGCACCCCCTAGACACCAGAACGCTGTCGAAAAGAAGAACCTTGGTGAGCAAGGTCCAGAGCTTCTCCCAGGGAAGGAGAAGTCAGGGGGTGCTTGTGACTGGACAGGAAATAGCAAACTGAGATTCAGCTTATAAAAAATGCCAGGAACACACATCTGCAGTGAGAGAAGAGAGAATCCAGAGCATACTGGGCCTGGATAGAAGCCTCTTACCCTAGGGACCCCAGGGAACCAGCCCTCCACATGCCCGCCGGCGCTTGCTTGCAGCCCCCTCCCCAGGACCCAAGGCTCCGGGGTCAGCTCAGGGCCTGCAGCCAGGGCTAAGCCAGCAAGAGCAGAGACTTCACTTGTGAAAAGCTGAAGATCAAAAGGTTCTAGCAGCTGTATTTCACATCTGGGAGGGGAGATGGAGCCAGACCGGAAAGAGGTTTCAGAAAGAGCTTGAAACTTGACCATAGAAGGGAACTTGGATTCAGACCTGGAAAGTCCAGGGTCAATTTAGGGAATAAAAAGAGCTAATTTATTGGGCACTTACTATGCGCCAGGCATTCCTTTAAGGGCTTTTATGTGTTAACCCAGGTTACAGGTGTTAAACAGCCCCACTGTAAAGATGGGGAAGTGGAGCAGAATCAGGTCATCTGCTTGAAGACCTAGGTGGTAGAGCTGGAACTGGAACCTTGGCAGTCTGGCACTAATGGCCAAGCTCTTACCACTACACCACACTGCCTCTGTAACCAGGGCTGTGCAATGAGCTGGACTCGCCGAGGTCACTGAGAGTCACTCCTGCAAAGCCTCTCAACCACACTGCATTTCAGTTTATAGAGCATTTCCTAGGCCTCAGTGTCATTTGACCCTGCCAATGACCCCCTGAGGTGGCCAAGCAGATGGAGGAAACTTGCCCAAGATCACAGGTGAATGTCTGGCAGAGCCAGGACTGACCCAAGACCTCAAGCCCCCTACTCACCAGGAAAGGCGGCAAGGCTGGGCTGGACCAGGAAGCCCAGGGCTGGCTGGTCCCTGTCCCCAGCCTAACCAGCTCCCAGGATGGCTCCTAGGATGCATAAGCTGGCAGCGGCCTGGGCCCATGCAGGGGGTGCCTAAGGTCCCAAGGAGGGCCATCAGAGGGCCAAAGGCAGAAATAGAACCCGGGTTTCCTGCCTTCCAGCACATCTCAGGCTATGACGGAGCCCGGCTTCCTCCCAGAGGAACCCAGTACTTCAGTCAGGCGTTGGAGAAGGATGGCGGGCTGGAGAGGAGGCGTCCAGAGGACAGACATGGGCCAGAGAGGAAGGAGCCAGGCAGAGAGGGGGATTGTCCAGACCCCGCAGGTTCCAGTGGGGGAAGTGGGGGCAGCTGACTCATACAGGCAAGGTCAGAGGACTGTTCTAGTATGCCGAGAACAATTGTTTAGGATGGAGTGTGGGCAGGGTGGCCCCCAGTGAGCAAGGGCAGACAGCTCCCTGAGGCTGGGTTGTGTCAAGGCCCTCCTGGTGAGGATGAGGCTGCAAATAAAGCTGCAGAGGCCCTTGGAGATGAGAGACAGAGGCTGGGTAAGGAAATCCTGGCCTGGGTAAGGATACAGAGGGAGGCAAGAATGGCTGGGAAGAGTATGGAGGTGAAGGTCAAGCCATTAGAGAAGGGTACAAAAGTTAGAGAAGGTTTGGGGTGCAAGGAGAGGTACAGATGCAGCTATAGAAAATGGGGTTTTAAAGGGAGTTTAGCCTGGCCCTGGTTGGTTTGGCTCAGCGGTTAGAGCGTTGGTCCCTGGACCAAGGGGTGGTGGGTTTGATTCAGGTCAAGGGCACATACCTTGGTTACGGTTCTATCCCTGGCCCTAGTTGGGGTCCTATGGAAAGCAATCAATTGGTGTGTGTCTCTCTCACATTGATATTTCTTTCTATCTCTCCCTCCTTCCCACTCTATCTGAAAATTAATGGAAAAGTGTCCTCAGGTGAGGATTAAAAAAAAAAAAAGAGTTTAGCTTGGCCAGTGTTACTCAGTGGGTTGAGCATTGTCCCATGTACCAAGAGGTCACTAGTTCCATTCCCAGTTAGGGCACCTGCCCAGGTTATGGGCTTGATCCCCATAGGAGGCGTCCAGGAGGCAGCCAATTGAAGTTCCTCTCTCATCAATGTTTCTATTTCCCTCTCCCTCTCCCTACCTCTCTCTCTAAAAATCAATATATTTTTTTTTTTTTTTAAAAAGGAGTTTATAAGGGAGGACTGTGGGCCTTGCAAAGGTTATGTATGAAAATAAGTTTCTGGAGCTGCTAAAATCAGAGCAGTAGAAAGACAGCGGCACAGTGAAGAGATGACAGTAAGAACAGTCAGCCCTGGCCGGTTCGGCCTGTGGTCCAGAGACCTGGGTTCGGTTCCCACTAAGGGCATGTACCTCGGTTGCAGTTTGTCCCCGGCCCTGTTTGGATCATGCGGGTGGCAACCACTTGATGTGTCCCTTTCACGTCGATGTTTCTCTCTCTCTCTCTCTTCCTCTCTCTCCCTCCCACTCTAGCTGAACAAAAAATGGAAAAATGTCTTTGGGTGAGG